AACACAGTTCTCTATCATTTCTTACTCAGAAGATCAACATACCATGATGTCAAGTGACCACTTCACAAACAAGTGGCGAGGCTTTTTAAATTGCCAGGATTCTACTCTTGCAGAAGATCTGTAACGTGTTAAGTGTCCACTCACTGAAGGAAACAATCACAACGTTTACCAATGTAAAGTGAGTTTAGCTATTTTCACAGAACATATATCATCATTATTCAGTATCACCCCCTGGAGTGTAAACTATGGGTTCTACTTGGGTCAGTCAATCTTTATTGCTCGATGAGGGGAGAAATGGTGTTCAGCCAGTACTTAAATTAGTTACTTCGCTTTAAAAGCAATATGATACATAAAGACACATAAATGAAATGTGCCACAGAACTGTAAAAGTTGCATCACAGTGGAAATATTAAAAGTATGTATCCAAGTTAGAGAGGTTACTGAGGTACTGCAACTAACGATAAAATCATGAACTAAGTCTGACATCTGGTGGACAGAATATGCTCACTTATAACTCTTATCGTCATCTCTTTTTCAGTGTTGTGTGCTGTGGGAGTGGAGACCCTACAAAAGGGAGAATTCAACAGCCTTGGCATCTACTTACTGTAAGCGCTTAGGTTTTGTAGTCGGCTCTAATATACTGTAAAACTTTAAACCTACCAAAGTACTCCTTACTCCGGCCTATTTGAGACTAAACTGGGGGCATTCCTGAGTTACAAATAGACCCCCTGGATTTTAATATGGTAAAGAATGTGTGGCCTGAGGGCTTTTAGAAAACAATTACAATACTGTAATTGCCTGCATTATCTCTCATACATTACATACACACACTTGCAAGGACGATGTTGGCAAGGAGTCAGAGGGATGAAATGAGGTGCAGAGGGCAGAAAGGAGACCAGTCCTTCAGTGCTACTTCTTATTATCTCTGTGGCTCACAGCCAAACTCCCACAGAGCCACAGGAAAACATCTCCCAAGGGAGACCAGAAGTGCATGACTTTTTATTATGTCAGTACACACACCCACACACACACAAACAAAAGCACACAACTCAGCGATAGTGACAGCAGATAGTGTACCATGATGGTTAGTCTGGGGGCATTTTTCTGGTTCGCTGGATGAGATGGCTATCAGACAGTTTAAACACAAAACAGAGAATGGCTATATACTGTGGCACCAAACACAACTCCTAAACGCCAAGTCTTTTGTACCATATGAAGGCGATATCTCTTGTTTTTATTGTGTTTGTCATAGGGCACTTGATGTCTCCCCTTGCTACCCACATTTTGCACTGTTTAGAAAATGCAATCTTCACCCACAGCCCTAGATAAAATACACAGAAGCAGGCCTATTTAAATCTAGTTTACATAGTTTAGAAACAGTTTAACGATTTTATCAGTCCTATTTCATCTGGCTCTAAACCTTTTCTTCCTCCCAGAGTGTCATCTGCTGGCATCATGATGTTTGAGATGGCCTATTTCCTGGATGCTCTTCTGTTCATGTGTCTGCCGTGAGTGCACAATCTGCAGCAAAAATACTTTACACAGGGAAAACCACATATAGCATGATATTCTGATTTTTAACTAACCATGAATGTTAGTCTTTCTTGATGTCTGCCACATCAGCATTCACATATTTTGCTTTACTGTCTCTGCTGTCAAAATAATCCCAAAAAATTATAAGAATGTGACATATCAGTCGTAACAGTTGAAACATATTTGTAAGGCAAGGCGAGTTTATTTGTATAGTACATTTCAAAGACAAAGCAATTCAAAGTGCTTTACATAAAACATTAAAGCAACATAGGGCCTCAGTGGTAGAATTGGTTGGAACCTAGCTGGCTGTGTGCATGAGAGAAAGCCTTATTGTTTTTGCTACTGCCTCAGTCCTTCTCTCCATCTTCTCTTTCTCTATAGCTGTCCTCCAGACTGGCAGCTGTTTATATTGTGGGGGAAGATGGCTCACATTGGAGGCTTCCAAAAGTTCCTCTATTACTCCATAATGTCAGTGGTCTGCTTCTTGCACCCTGTGTTGGTGTGGCATGCAATTATCCCAGGTAAAATTGCACCAGCTGGTTTATAGTGTCATTGAAAACCTTTTTGTCAGCAGACATTTGGACTGTTCAAATGGTAGGAAAAGCACCCATGTATATAACAGCATTAATAATTAACAGTGACAGTGAGCCAGCACAATACAATACACAATACAAGGACCCTGAAACTGAAGCGGCTGAATGAAATACATCATTGTGTGAAACCTGTGCTTTTACAACTGAAACATGTCAAAATGTCTTCTGTGGAAAAAAAACACATAGAAATAGAAATATATTTTCTGATTGCAGGGACAATGCTTCTGGTCACAGCCTTTTCCAACTTCATACTAAGCAAGAAAACAAAGATCAAGTCCCCTAAAAGGCCACAGGAGAGCCACAGCGACCACAGCCAGACCACCGTCTGTGGGATAGAGGAGGCGGCCTCGGACAGCACTTTTTCATTCCTCCACATGGTGACGGGAAGGAAAGTGGGGGGACTGGCTCTTGCAACAAGAGACCGCTGCCTCTGCCCGGGAGAGAGAGGAGAGAGCATCCAGGCCATGCTGGAGCTGGAGCAGACAGCAACACCTAAAGACACAGACGGGGAGAGGAGGAGGTGGAACGAGAGGAGGCTGGTATGCTTCAGAGGTAGGGAGGAGCCAGTGGAGAGAGAGATGGAGGAGATGGACGGCTACTGTGAGCCAGAGCCAGACACCACCTCAGACACTGCTCCTATGATTACTGCCTGAACGTTCTTCTGTTTTCAGAATGAGCTCCTTACTGATGTCACACAAAGGAAAGCATGTGCAATGTGCATCTAGCTGGTGCTACACTGACTTTTAGTTGGAAATAATATTATAAAATGTCTGACATTAAATGTTTTACTCATTTTTGTATTTTCTAACTTTAAAGAGATCTATTTGTACAAAATGAACATTTTATGTCTGAGCTCTATTAATATATAATATATAATGTGTTTTTAACAGCAATCTTGATCAAATCAATCAAATGTAAATTTAAATTCAAAGAAATTAAACAATTTGTAACTACATGTCCACGTGGGTGGCTTTTAGTGTGATAGCCTGTTTTTGCAAAGCCAGCATTGACTGAAGAGCATACATTAACACCAAGCAATCCAATCCAGTTACTGCCACATGCATTATTCATAAGGTAATAAATTAGATCAACTGTTTCATTCATTCAGCATCAGAGAAAATAGGAGCGAATGTGACTGAGAGTAGCAGGCGTTAGAGCTTGTGCAGGTGCATGTGCTAGTCACATTCAAGTCTTCTCATTGTGTGTTTGTCGTGTGTTAGCGGTGACCATGGAGACGGAGCTCTGGAAGGAGCGCTCACGTTATTATGGTGATGAGAAAAACATCAGATCACCCACCAGAGCGCCACCATAGGGCTGTGTTTCACTTAAACATATCCAATGTGCCAACACACATAATTACAAGTATTATTCATGCATAAATAATATGGCATACGCTGTGCATTGATAATATTAATTGTTGTTGTGTAAGTTGAGTGGATCAGACTGGAGCTCTATCAATCATCCTGAAATTATTTTTGCGATACAAAAGCGAGTACGAAAAGCCATATGCTAACAATTTATTTGTTTTTCTTTTGTTTTATCACGCAACAAAGGATACAATTCTTCATACAGACATTCCTCTTTTGTTCAGGTCATAAATCAATACTGTTTTGTTCTGTCAAAACACTCACACACACACACACACACACACACACACACACACACACACACACACACACACACTGTATTCCTCAGTCCTTTGTTCACCGAACTATAGATATATAACTGTATGTAGCCTTAAGAGGCAATCTCTCTGCAGCATCAAAGCTAAGGAGAGAATCAATAAAAGCAGAGAGTCTCATTCATCAGGAAGCACCTCACTGAGAACTGGGGGCAGACATGTGAAAACACATTCACACATAAATAGCCTGTAGGTTAAACAACATCCATATTTGACGCAAATTACATTTCCAGCCACTACATGGTGTCATATTTTCTTTCAACCTTTAAAACACATTTGTTTTTGCACAGTATATCAAAGCCATGACATGTGAATCCAGTCAGGAGGGAAGAGGTGGGTCTTATGAGGAGAACAGAGAGTCTTTGTCCAGAGTTTGCTCAGGCCACTCATTTGCCGATAATCAGTGCTGTATTATCAGCTTCACAGTGATCTCTGGTCAATTAGCAGCAGAGTGACCCAATAATAAACAGAGGAGAGGAAAAGAACGTAAATATTTCCAGGCCACTTCCATAAACGTTCTACCAACTTTGTCATACCCATGTTCGCTGTGGGGGAAGTTATTCAGCTGCTGGAACAACTTACTTCCTCTCTGTATGTTAAATTATAAATCCTATTCACACACAGAGAGAGAGGAGACTTCCTTCAGCTTGTGTTTCCACCCTACAATAGTTTCCTAGATGGCAAATCCAGGCTCAAAAACAGGATGGCTGAAATAAATCTTAACGGGTCACAATGACTTCTTCCTTTACTGCTGAGCTGGGAAAAAACAGGATAGGTGCTGTGTTAAAGCAATTTGATTGTCTGAGCGCTGCATAGGTAAAGGCAAACACAAAATGTGATGTTCAAAAAATCCAATGCATAATATAGCATAAAAATACTAGTAAACATTTAGATAACACTTAGCACAAAATTAGCTGCGCAGGGTCAATCAAATCCTGGTAAAAAATATATATTGTTATGTTTCAAAACATAACACGTGAGTGTCCATTCAAAATATTTTACAGTACAGCCATTTGTGGCCAACAGGGCACGGGAAGTAAATCCATTTACAATTCCGAGCTGATTGTTGTCATTCTTGTGACTGAAGAGACTGAAGAGGTGCAGGTACCTTGGCCAGGAGGAGAGAGGTGTGCAACCCTGACGCTCTTCGCCCCTCCCACGCCCAGCGCTGATTGGCCGAGGCGTATCAGTGCGGCTTTCTATTGGTCATCCTGTTGTCAGTTTTATCTTCCAGCTCTGAATACCGCACGACCGGGGAGGCGTGAGGAGCGATAACGAACTGTAAGCGGGGTCAGTCGCTGGTGGAGACAGGGAAGGAGACTGAGGAGAACGCTCTCTGCTATGGTAAGAAACCAAACTGGTCAAATTTACTGCAGCTGATTTTTATACGAAAATACCAAGAGGGAGGGAACTTCGCCGATGTAATCATGTGCTTATATCCTGAAAACAACATAATGCCCGAAGGAAGGAGGTGTTCTGAAGTTGGATGCCGGTTGCTAACATTGTAAATTCATAATGCAGCGATGACTGGTTGATTGTTTCCCTTTTCGTCAACTTTAATCTGCTGTATTCTATAAAACTACATGTTCTTAAACTATGTTCTTTAGTGTAAGCGTATAGCTGCAATAGAAAGAGATCATTCTTAAGCAAGTGATTTGCTGAGAAATGTCTCTCTCCATTTAGCCCTTCTTAGACGTTTTTGGAAAGTGTTTGCCGAAATTGTCATTGAGCGCGTAATGTGGGGCTCCCCTGGACATTTGACGCGTGGGAATGGATTGTCCAGGGGACGCAGCTGCCAGAGGTGCGATAATTGCATACGAATCTCGCGATGATCAAACCAATTAGCAGACCTGCAGTGAAGGTTCTTTGTCCACCGAGGGAGCGTACGCGCCGAGGTAATGCGTAATTTAGTCGCAATAGAAGAGAAGGAAATAGAAGAGACAGATTATGCAAATTCACCCAAATCAGAGCATCACCCAATAGAATGACCCCTATCTTCTTTGCACAGCTCTAAGCCTTTGGCTCATCTCCTGTGCGGCCATGTGCAGTGACTGAATAATTCATAATAATGGTGACAGACTGGAATCCTTTAAGTTATGGAATATTTATACCACATTACTATGCATGAATATGTATAAGAAATAGACTGACCATCGCAATATGCGCCTATGTCAGCAGTGTCCAGTGGAGGTGGGCAGAGGTCATTAAAGTGAGAGAGTAGGGCTGATAAAGGTACAGTGCTGGTCTTGCCTCAGTAATTTAGTTATTTAAATCTTCACCTGCAGATGATAAGAGGAGCAGCAGTGTGACAGAAATCTAAAAGTATCCATTTTTCGTGCTCTGTGCTCATTGTTTAGCTGACCTGGCTTCACAGAGATCACTTCCCAATCTGACAGTGGTGTGCTCAGCTGGCAGTCTGCTTCCTGGTTTTTGTGGTGACTATCACTGCTCATGCAAGCATTTTTTCTTCTACTTTTTCCTAAGTAACTTCTGTTTCAGCTGCAGGAAATGCAAATACATGACTTAGCCAGAGCTTATTCTGTGGAAAGATCAATGCATTGATGAACCAGGGTAAATTTATTATGAATGGGTTAGTAATACATCAGAGTGGAACTGCTTTTACATTAAAGGAGTCACACATCATTACTTTAACTGATTTACCTCCCTTCTTTATCACATGACCAAATGAAGCACTGCAACAAAATGAATCATCTCAGGAAGCGCTGAGAGTCCCAAACAATAACTCAGCCAGCAGCACTTTGGCGTATACAGCATGAAAAGCTTCAATGTCTGTTTGTCCACCATCCTGCTGTCTCTGTTCCTGCAGGTGGTGTCGAAGACAATACAAGTTAAACAGTCAAACATTGTTTCTTCCATTACTGAGCAAGCAGCAATGCTGCTACACTTTACAAATCAGATGTACATAGCGCTGTAGACACTAGGTGGCAGCATCATAGTACCAATATTATGAATGTGGATAATGAAATTTTAGGCACTACATTAGAATCCAGTGTTGAAATGTAAATTTAAGGTATCCGTTGTCATTAAAATTGTATATTGCTGGTGAGGGATTGACAAAATAATTGAGTTACAACAAAACATTGTCTTTGAGGAATTTATTAATAAAAAGAGAATGACAGAGAAGTACTACAACACATATATAGCTGGTCCAGAGACCTGCTGCCTAGGGCAGCTTCGAGCATCTGTCCCAGAGCAAAGGGATGCATAATCATTTAGACAGTCCAGGTTCCTATGTTTTGGGGAACAGAAATTAGAGGCTTCTTCAATTCTGAATCGATTCCAATTTATTAGATGTGCTGTCTGAGCAAGCACAGGTTCTGACTGACCCAGTCATTTAACCTCTGTGGGGTCGTTATCAAGCTGATGGATGCCTCTTGGTTTGTGCTCTTGGCTCTTGTAACGACAGTTGTTGTGGTCGTTGGAGTCACGTGAGGCCAAGTCTGAATGACTGTTGTTGGCACTGTCGCATGAGGTCAAATGTGAGCTTTACTTCACTCTCCTGGGTATAACTATGACCTGCATGGATGACTGAGAATCTTCTTCACAGAAATATATATTTATAAAATGTTACTTTAGATACTACAAACACAATAATGACAAACTGTAATTTAAATTTTAAATGAGATTTTAACAGTGGTGGATGAAGTTTTCAGATCAGTTTCTTAAATATAAGTAGCAATACTTGATTGTAAAAATACACAATTACAAGTCCTGCATGCTATATTGTATTTAAATTAAAATACAGAGGTATTTTCTGCAAAATAAAATTAAAAGTATCAAAATTGGTATTCATAAGTATAAGTTTAAGTAAATACGTATGTAAGTATTTAGGCAGCAAAATAGCTCCTCTCATTGTTGAGTGTATTTGTATAATTGTTGTTATATTATTATTACTGATGCATTAAGAAGCATTTTAATGTTGATTTGATTGTGATGAAGACAAGTTATCTTGCAGCTGTTAAAAGATCCTCTAAGTTAGTGTCCTGTCTAATCCTGAACTGCTTTTATTGTATTGATCAATATCATACTACTTATGGAAATTAAAATATCTGGTCGGCCTGTAACAAAGGTGCTTATTGTGCAGTTTACTTTCACTTTCCATTTGAGTCCCATGTGCTGTCAAGCGCTGAGTGATAATGGGATCACATAGCAGTTTTGCAAGAGACCATATCAATGCGAATAGGTAGAAACAAAATTTCACTGTGTGTGTGTGTGTGTGTGTGTATGTTTGTGTGCGTGTGTGTGTGTGCACGTGTGTCTGTGTCTGTTCTCTCTCTTGTGGCCCGATTGAAGTCTATCCTGTCACATGCTTTACAAGAAATGTTACAGCCGGTCCGACGCTTGTTTACTAGCCATCACAAAGCGTTCACAGTCCACACCCTAATCACCTGGATGTCTCACCACAACACCACAAGTAGTCCATAAAAGTGTGAGATGCACAATTAATCTTATTGTGTTTTCCAAAACACCTCCAGCACATGCTCTAACACCAACCTCTGTAGATTTTACAGTACATTAACATTATAATACAACATAGTTAGCTCCTGTTATAGCATTGCAATATTTGTGCAGATGTTTTCAGCTAGACATGTTTGTTTTGTGCCTCCTGCTGACTCACATCCTGTAGTTTATTAACTAAAGCTGGGATTGTGTTTACAGTGACCTCTCATATCCTGCCAAGGAAGTAATCCTCTTTTTCCATCGTTCACTTCTAAAGATAATCAGGAGTTTTAACAATAATAGCACACATGATTACTATTTTTCTGATATATTTATTTAAAAAAACAATGTCTGAAAAATGCCCATATTAATATAAAAATAAATAACCAAATAAGTCTCTTCAGTTAGCTTGTCCAGCTGCATACACAGGGCTACACAAAAACAATACATTGACCATTTTACAGTGTTTTGAAGCTAAAACTGTTAACATTTATGACAAGCCTCCAGGGCTTAGTTTTTAACATCACATCACTCATTTGCACAGAAAACATAAAGCCCCCTGCTACTGGCCTAGAAAAAGAGTTTGATTTACAGTCCAGCCAACAGTTTAGGGGAGCTTGATGTCATAGTGACGTTTATAGAAAGAAAAGTGGTGCAGTGGTGTGTTTTACGGCGTCTAGCGGCCTGGAGTCCACAGTGTGGCAACAATCAGCATGTACACGCTTCTCTCCTTGCAGTAGTATTGTATCATCTTTCAGACTGGTTGACTACTGGGAGATAGAGGATGAGGCTTTTCTGTTGTGGCACCGGCTCCTCTGTCGAGATCGCTGGCGCTGACCTCCTCTCCCCCTCCTCATCCTCCTCAGGCACAGCTTCACATCACGACCCAACTTATGAGTTCTAGGAAACACACACAGACATATGCACGTTTCTTTGGAGGAAGGGCTGTAAATTGATAGTCCTGGAGTAAGAATCACACTCTCAGATATTTGGATATAATATGTTTGTAATGGCATGAATAGCTTTTAATGGATAATCTATCTTATACACTGAGAAAGGAAAGCGTGGAAAAAAAGAAAATTTGGGTTTATAACAACATTAGTTGATTACCACTATGTTAGAAGCACTAAATGGCATTCTTTTTTGTCTCACAAGTAGCAAAACATGTGGAGGAAAGATCAAGAAACTGCTCAATGTGTGCTTTGTTAGGACAAGAACTTGCTTGGCAACAAATAATATACTGTTGACAGTGATATACGGGAAATATGAAGACGGGAGGAACTCCTCAAGAACCAATTAGGAAGCTCGGCTTAAATATTGTGCGATCCTTTGTATAATAAAAGCATTGCATGTTATTTTGGTCGTGTGCAAAGGTTATTGCAGAGTTTATTTTTTGATACATGATACTCTGGTGGTTGACACAGTTATAGTATCCCTTGGTCTTATAAAACCCTGACAGAGAGAAGGTTTTAACTTTTCACCTTTTCCAGCAGCGAATCAGCTGTTTGCCCATCGGTGCCTCAGGATTCAGACACACTAGCTGATTACTTCTCAGAGTTACTCTGAAAAACACATGTAAACCCATACATTTATACACACTCATTTGGATGTGCGTGTTTGTGCATGAATGTGTGTGCGTCTGCAGGATCTGGTACTCACATTACTGTGAATTTATCACAGCCGGGGCGTTTTGGGTAGACTGTGATCTCTTTCAGATGCCCTCTGACACCTGGTTGCGTCTGTGGACACAAACATCTTCCCGGGACAAACGTGCTGTCGGACTCTCTCACTGCACAAACACAGACATAGTAACAAGATTACAGGTTAATTCAATACAACATGAGCAGAGATTAAGCAACTGGAAGTTCACATGCTCAGACAGCAAACCGCATTAAAACACTTTTACTGGATCCAGATTTTATGAAAGAAAAACACACAGTTATAAACATAAATGAATCTGTAGATTCTTACCTGCAATCAGTACGCAGCAGAGGCTCAGAAAGGTGAGCTGACAGACTGAAAGCTGCATAGTGGAGGCAAGCTGAGCGTTGACACTGAGTCCTTGAGCCACATGTTGCTGTTTTATACTCATGCTCCTCCCCCCTGCAGTCTCAGAGCTGGGCTTTCCAAACCAGGAAATTCCCCATGGCACTTTCCCTCTCAAATATCAGGAGACAGGAATCGGGATGCAGGGATCAGGGACACCATTCCGCTGTCTTTGTCAGAGAAGACTTGACACCCCACAGGACATAGTGATTAATTGTGGTTTCCTTTCTTTTACTGTGCATTTATTTATCAGTATTAAGACACTGATGTTGCAGACTGGTTGTTTTCTTTAGAAACAACAGTAGAGATGGCTGAGTAGTCTTTATTTTTCTTATTCTTATTTTTCTTATTATATTAATTATTTATAATAAGCTTGCCACAGTAGCTGGAGCTATCCTTGCATTAGACAGAAGACATAGTGTTTTCCAGGCTTTGTTGAGCCTTGCCTCAAGACGATACTTCTATTAGTCCATTGGCTCTGTGTCAACAACACCATGTGATTTCTCATAATTTCCTGTCCCTTCTTTTACCACATGAGCCACTTGTTTAACAGCATTTAATAAAGAAAAACTATCCAATCCTCACATTTAATCAAAAATTAAACAGAACAGCGCATTAAACTAATGTGCATATTTGTTTTTTATCAATGGTCAAAGGAATTTTCTCTCTGGGAATAACATCATGATTTAGAGACCCAGACAAAACAGTGTTATAGAGATAATACAATCTTTATGTCATTCTCATGTTTTTCTGCCACAGCTGGGCTCTGGTCAGAATGGGTGAGCCTCAGACCTACGTGAAGCTCAGTGAAGAGAAACTTATACCAAAGTAAGTCCTTTTAATTCCCTCACTGCACAGTAGTTAAGTACAACAAAGTAAAATCATGATTACATGTATTGAATTTCACCATTGCTTGCATAGTTTGAGAGCTATGAGTGCTAATTTATCCCTTGTGGTCTTGTGTTCATATTCAGGTCTGACATCTTGTCACTGCTTAGGACCTACAACTGTTACCACGAAGGGAAAAACTTTCAGCTGAGGACTCGTGAGGTAAGAAAGTCTCAAACAAACCACCTGAAAGGAGACATTGCTGGCGGAAATAAAAAACATAAACAGGGAGGGTTATTGGCAATTGCCTGGTGCTGTGTGTGTGTGTGTTAGTGTGTGTGTCCGTGTCTGTGTGGGCATGCTGGATTGCAGGACACACAGCATTGTAAAATGGGTTGCACACATTCCAAAACTGGAACCAGTCAAACTGGCACTTTAATGTATTTTATCAAAAAACCGAAGACCAAATAATCTGCCTATGTGGCTACAGTCCTGAGCACAGACCTGCAATTCCTTGGTGCTTTCACAACATGCCAAGCGGCTGACAAACCACAAAAAGCCCCATTTTCCCTCAAAATTAAAATGGAAATGGAATGAGGGAGGGAGGGGTCGCAGATTTAGCCATACACACTAACTGCTTAGCAAACTATTTCAACAGTAAACCTTTTGCTTTTGTGGTGTGTTAGCTGTTTGCAGGAGTTTGGTTATTTGTTTGATAATCATTCTATGGCTTTTATGGTCGGGAGTTCCCCTTTGTTTGTGTGTGTGTGTGTGTGTGTGCAGGGCAGGGTGGTCATGGTCTGTCCTTCATTTTTGTCCCCCCAGACAGACCCACTACATCATCTTACCCTGGGAAAATCCCCCACAGTCTCAGACACAATATGGGTACATGCAATGTACATATGAATATTGACACAATTCATCCAAAATGAAATATACGTTAGACTGAACATCTTAAAAGGAAAATATATTAAACAGAACTCTGCTAATTATAACGCCACATTATAGAGAATGACTCAGCACAATGCATTTACACCACTGTAGCATGTATTAGGTCATCTGAAGGTTTCACACGGGGGTTTTAACAGTGTGTTATCTTTGCTGAAAATAAATGTCAGTAATTGGACCAAAACACGTTGCTTCACTAATACAGTAAGTCTAGATGTAGAGTAATAACAAATTAATTACTCAAGTGTGATCGCTGAAACAGGTGATTCTACAGTTGCTTTCTGTGTCATTACTGAGGCTGTCCAAGGCAAAATGTGAAAGCAGACCAAGGAGTTAAATCTAAGTCTTTCTCTTTAAGGTGGCAGCTAACTTTATATGTTGCTTTGTATCTACTCTTTCTGCATTTGAAGTTAGCTGCATTTTGTCATGAACAATTGAATAGTATCATGGCAGCCTTTTAGCCACATTGTTTTGATAATTTTGCCCGAATTGAACAAATTTCACATATATTACAAAAACTGTTAATGGTTAATATTGTTAATGGTAAGCATAACGTAACATAAATTACCCACCATACTTACAGACACAGGAACACTTGATGGGAACGTAATGTATGTATTGTGCAAAGACAGCATAGGTAGCTCAGTCTAGCGTGACTGAAATGCTATGCCAACACAATCTGATAATCTGAGTGATGATCTGAAACTGGATCCCGATAAACATTCTGTTGGGAAAAAAATCACAAGTTTATTCTTGTTCCACTGTTCAGTTTGTACTGTGGAAATACTCTAGCAATTTTTACTCATTTGTCTACAACAGTTCTTCTCAGAGTGGGGCCTGGGAACCCCCAGGGTTCCTTGAGGGAGTTCCAGGGAGTCCCCAGCAAAAAGGGTTTAAATTTATTTTCACTATGATTCCATCCATAAGTAACACAAAGACAGAATCTATGACCATATTGGCCAGGGGTTTCATTTATTTTCTGTAATAAAACATATAAAAGCAAAACATTCTATCAGGTGGGGATCCCTGGGAGAAAACTTTTGTGTCAGTTTAAGGGTCTGATGTGAAAAAGAGTCACTACAACAAGGACTGACCACACAGTTAGCTATAATCACACATAAAAGAAAGTCACATCGACTTAAACATCAACGTACACAGCTCATTGACACAAATCAACAACTCTGCCAACTGCCAACATAGGCACCAGTCAAAAACATCAAGAGGATTCAAACGTCAATGAGTAAAAGTATGTTTAAACCCTGGACTTAAAAGGGGTCAGTAGAGGGGGCAGATCTGACAGGAAGGGGGAAGCTGTTCCACAGTCTAGGGACTGCAGCCTCAAAGGCGTGGTCACCCCTGAGCTTTAAGTTCAGTATGCGGGACAGCCAGGAATCACTAGTCAGTCGACCTGAGGAACATGGAGGTGGAATGAGGGGTTGTAGGTCTGTAATATTTAAAGGCCATTTAGGGATTCATAGACAAACAGGAGAACTTGCATCAGATTTGCTTTCATTTAACTGTAAGAAGTTAACCCACCAACACTTTATGTTCTCATGGCAGTTCATGAGACTGATTAGATTTGACTGGTCATTTGGTTTCAGAGTGAGATAAAGCTTTGTGTCATCACCGTAACAGTGGAAGGAAATTTTGTATTTTTGAATGACTGATGGCCGAGCATGTACATATAGAAAAGAATTGGACCTAGGATGGACAACACAGGAGATACTGGCTGGGGAAGAGAAAAATTACCTACGTAGATGGAGAAGCTTCTGTCTTTGAGGTAGGATGTGAACCAGTTCAAGGCAGTGCCATCAGTACCAACTACCAGAGACAGTCATTTAAAATGTCATGATCCACAGTATCAAATGCCACGCTTAGGACAAGAAGAATCAGGATGGCAGAGTTCCCGAAGTTAGCAGAGAGGAGCAGGTCATTAGACACTTTCAGCAAGGTAGACTCTTTGCTATGGTGAGCCCTAAAACCTGACTGAAATCTGATGTTGTTTTGCTGGAGGCAAGGGCGGATATTTCCTGTCACTGTTGGTAGGGACAATAAAAACATCTCCCAGCAGGATATTTTTTTTAAATAAAGTCGCTGAGGGTCTGAAAAAGGTAGGCAGTGGACCAAACCACTGTGAGGTATATGAGGGGGAGGACATACTCTTTCAAAACTTAAACACATTGTACTCGTAGTGAACAAGAGCTGTTAACTATTTGCGTACCAGATACATTGGCTAGACACTGACGGACAAAAGTGGTTATTTTTAATTGTTTTGTTCAAAGTTATTGCTAGGGACAATTCAGTAGTCGCTGGATATTGGTAGAGACGTCCCTACTAAATTATACACCCTTGGCTGTAGGTAGGGCAGCAATTCAAGTTCCTCAGTGCTGAGATGGAGAGAAGTCTTGTTGTTAGGACATTTGTCTGTGTCTCTTATAGTAAGTAATGATCTACAGGTTGTTTTTTAACAAAAGTCCTAGAATCATTTTCATTACTCACAATCACAATTTGAAGCTACAGACTTTTCTAGAGTGAAAGTTCATTCTTGATCTTGAAAACAGCAGCCAAGTCCATTCACTATCGTTCTGGAGCTTTCGATAGCAATCATCTTAAGTAATCAAAAGCTCCAGAACAGCTGCTACATTGGCCTTGTTGTGAGATTGTTTTGTCAACTGCTTTTTCCGGAGTCAAGAAGAGCTTTTAATCTCAGCTTTGAAATAAACATGAATGAGGTGTCCTTAAAGTGCTAAGAAAAATGGAAATTTGAACATGGACGATTCCGTGAAAACTGGGCAGCATTGTGTGAAGAACTCTGTAAAATTCTTGACATCTGCTTGACATGAGCGATATAGTCAGAGCTGTTGGAGTGAGGCTCAAGAGTGACTCATTAGAGTTAGGGTATGAAGGACAAAGCATTACTCAGCAGTGACATTTTTGGGTTTTAAGCATGCCTAAGACCAACGTTTGGGGACTCTAAATGGGACTTTCTAGGAAATGCAGTGACTGTGTGAATGATTTTAGATTAAAAAAAAACAGGTGTAGATGTCATCATTCCCAGACAGAGGTTTACTGTGGTCATATGTACCTGACTGGGTATTTGTTTTAATGTTTTTATAATTATTATCCAGACTGAGACAAACATGTTCTGTGTGGGAAAAATGGAAGTGGAAAGTGGCAGTTAAACAGGGTACGAGGATTTGTTGTTTTAAGATGACATCATGATCACACTCTGCATGTGAAGTCAGGTGATTTGAGTTGAGTCATTTTGTGGAAGTGGTTTCACTTGGATAAAGTAAACATATCCAGTATTTTTGACAGGAAAACAAGCTCTGACATGCATGCATACTAAGAGTAATCTGGTCAGTTTGTAATGTGGTATAGTCAGTCAACACTGGGTCGAGTAATGACACAGGAGAGGTTCAATGTATATGCCTGTGCATGTCTGCCGAAATAACCTCAAAAATCAATCCATGTGCATGCAGCTCCCTCTACTGGCTGTATGAGGTACCTTTTAGATAAAGGCCACCACAGCACCATTGATTACCACTAGATGTCAGTGGGATGCTGAGTTTATTTAGATTTTTGGTCAGGAGCAGAAGTAGAGGAAGTATTCAGATCCCCAGAAAATTCAAAGCAACACTAGAAATATTCCATGCAAGTCTTGCATCTTCTGTCAACATATATATATATATATATATCATAAGTATTATCAGCAAAATGTACTAGTGTGAATTAAATACTCCCCTACGAGTGTTCAATTATATATTATTGGATCATTATCACTTATGCTTCAGTAGCCTTTGTTAGTAGCGTTTTGTTGTAGCAGGGTAAAGGAGTTAATTTAACTATTTTATATACTGTTGATCTGTAAGATAATAACAGTTTGACAAACTACCCAGATCTTTTAAGGAAAAGTAACAATACCACAGTGAAGAAATACTTTAAGTAAAAGTATTAGCTCAACAAAATATACTTAAAGTAACTAAAGTAAAACTATTAATTTTACAGAGTGCATTTTGAGAATAATGTGTGTTATATTACTAGATTATAATAACTGACACATAAATGAGTAAATCACTGCAATGTTGCTGCTGGTAAAGGTGGAGCCCAAGGTGATGTCCTCAGATCTTTTGTTTTGTCTGACCTACAGTCCAAAGCCAAAAAAGATTCAGTTTATGATAGAAAACAGAAAAAGAGCAGCAGATTCTCACATTTGAAAAGCTGGAAAATGTTTGCTGTTTGCTATAAATTATTTGACAGATTAAACTATTATTGAAATAGTTACAAATAACTATCTGCCTGATTATTCACTAAATCATTTCAGCTCTATTTATCTAACTGTTGTATCTAACTGGATTTGAGATGTAATGATCTTCAGCTCTTTTGTAGAGTAACTTTAGAAACAGAAACATTTTCATGAGTATTTTTATTTTATTAGAAACTATATCCTTTACATCTCTATGAAACATTTAACACTGTAAACATTCAGACTTGAGTCCTCAGTACATAGAAATAAATAGATCTTCACTTTTCTCACAAGCCTTTTGGTGATTTTGTCTTTGTTCAGCCATCATAATAAGTCCCACAATACATTATGTTGTTTTCATCTTCATAAGCAGAGCAGCTTCTTCCAGCCATGTTTGATTATGAGATACTCCGACAAAGTGCCTCCAGTTCTTCCCACAACATCATTGTCTCTCTTCAAGTTCTTATCTGTCCAAACAGCCAGTCCATGGGGTCTTTGCCCCTGCAGTCTTTTTCTCTGCCCATCTTGAGAGAGAAATCCTCTGTGCTGTTTAGACTCAGACTGTAAGGCCTAGAAGTCCTTAGTGTGCGGGGAAGTGAGGCTGAGACAGACAGCTTCATCTGAGCCTTTGAGAAGTGCCGGGACCTCTGGAGTCTGACGGGGCCGTAGCTTGGGGCCTCAACAGGGCAGGCGAGGGCCTGGATGCTGGTCATGTACTCCTCTAGAGACTGGGAGCTCTGGGTAGATTGGGAGGATGAGGGATGGACAGGCAAGTCCTCGAGCGTCTCAGTGATGGTGGGTAAGAGAGGCAGAGAGAGCAACAACCGCCTGCGTTTCATGCTGCAGCGGAAGAGGAAAAATAAAAATAGTTAGATTTGTCTACAGACTTTAATGGCAAACAAAAAATATTCTAGCTCTAGATAGTTATTTTATTGTTACGTTTTTAATTAGGGTCTGTCAGTGTGCTGCTTAACATCTACTACAATGGTTGTGTATGTGCATTTGCCTGCTATCTTTTAGCCTTTAATAGATAAACTGATATCTGTATATACCTTCCCCATTTGTTAGTATGAATTGCAATTAAGAAATAATAATAATAATTATAATTCCTGTCAAAAAAGTTAACTCCATTTTATAATTTGTGTTTTTCTTTTTACAAGAGTAAAATATGTAAGGTTGCTTCAGGTCCTTTAAAAAGTAATTCATAGAAATGGCAAAGGTGTGAGCCCTCTACAATAAAGTATAACTGATAATGAAGAACAATAAGAAGAAGAAGCACTCTCACCTTTGACGCTTAAGTTGTAGGTATTACACGCAGAGTGAAACAGAGTGATGTCTAGTCTGAGTATGACTGGACTGGAGCGTGTGTCCAGGCTTTATAGGGGCACGCAGAAGCAGAGTGATTAACCGCTACGTCCAAAAATAGCTCTGCTGACCTTACTCACGTCTGTATGTGTGTGTGTGTGTGTGTGTGTGTGTGTGTGTGTGTGTGTGTGTGTGTGTGAGGGCGTGTGCATGCCTGTTCAGGAAACTCAGGAGGGGCGGATTAGGGAGGTTCAGTGGTGCAGCTGCTCTGAATGTTTATATTCCAGAAACAATGAAGCCCTGGGAGTAATCTTTATCACCTCCAAAAACACTTTCTGCTTCTTCTCTCCAATCTCTGACATTTAGTATTAAAATGATTGTAATAAAAACTGACTGTGTTCATCTCCATTATTATTCTTTCAGCAATTTGCCACCGCTGTAAAACTATGGCATAACAAAGAAAAAACATGTCAAACCATTTGCTGTACAGTCTATAGACACAAGAGGCACACATGTAGAGGCCCAGATGGCATGGATAATTAGTTTACCTCCATAATCTGTTTTTGTATTAACACCAACAAATCACATGGTTCCTACAGCAGTCTGAGATCCTCTTGTCACCTGCTTTCAGTGTATCGTCTCTGGTCACATGCTCAGAGACAGATGACAGGAACTCTTTACAGCATTTCTGCTGAAATCTCTACCTACGTTTATGATCCGTTTTCCTCAGTTTCTAGATGCGCTTTGATTGTTTAAGATAGATACAGTTTTGGCTCTCTGTCAGACAAATTGTTCACAAATAATTCACCATTTATCTGTCATGAGCTGAATGAGGCCATATGTTTAAATTGAAAGACTTCTTAATTGGAAGACTTCCTTTTTAACAAAGACTTGGTGAAAGATGAACCTTTAAAACCGATATACTGTTTAATATGTATACACCTGTGTATCCCTATATACACCCAGATATATCCTAAGCATTATCTACTACAGGGGCCTCATTAAGATGATCACATTTACATTTCTAATTAGAGCTAAATAATTTCCGTTGAAGTCAACACTTTCATAACACTGATGTATTTCTCCCCGTATCCCTGTGTTTACAATGATATTTTACATGTGAGTACTTAAAGAGTAACCACAGACTTTCAAATGGTATCAGCTGATGAGACTGACCTCTAAGAATCAGATTACTGAATTTATCTCCTTCTAACACTAGTCTGTATTATTTGGGGTCTAAAACCTCTGTGACAAATAGATTTTTACACTTTTCATTTTGGTTAAAATATCGACATTGTATGCTGGGGTATCAAATTAGATATAGTGATGATATAACAAGCTGTTTTCAACATAAAGACACAGAAACTGACAAGAGTAGATGCTTTGTGCCTGTGTGTGATTACCACAGTCATAGTTGTGGTTTAATATTTGATTTAATGCTAGATCAGTTACACACAGACACACACAAACTTGATTGGCTGTCTGATCTCAGGCTCGCCATTCAGTCCAACATGCTAGAGAACTTTATTCTTTTATTTTTGGTTTTACATTTGAAATCCAACAATAACCATCTCAAACTATAAGACAGTTTTTAAGACATGCAGCAATATCTTCTAAATTTAGATTTTTGCCTCCTCCTGCACGTACGTGACCCAAAGCAGTCGTGCCTCTGTTCTCATTATTGCTGCCTTCTCAGACGTGACTTCATCCTTGTACTGTGTAAAAAAAGGCTGGGTCAAACCTGGGGTTTCTCCAAGATGAGAGGGTTCACCCCGTAGCTGCACGTACACCTGATACTGAGCCGCTGTGGCGAGCAGCCAGCAGGATATCCCCTCTGGCCAGGAGTGCTGATAATTATTGTTTTATGTGTACGTGTGTGTTTGTGCATGTGTGTGTAGGAGGATGGAGAGTTCATCCTCGAGGGGTTGCTGAACATCTACTGGGGTCTACGCCGGCCAATCCGACTTCAGATGTACGACGACAATGAACGATTCCGTCTCAACCGGTACGACGACCTGATCCAAACACAGGTGCCTTCGTGTGCTGAACAAACAGATGTGGGCCTTGTAACTAAAACGTTGTCAACAGGGACCTCTCACACAGCAGAGAAAGTCAAACTCTTTTTGCTCACCACTATCCTCACTGTTTGGTTAAGATGAAGAAGCTCATTTTACCCCGGCAATACATAATGTTGCTGTACTTAATATTTTGTCAACTTTTGTTTTTTTGGTAATACTTTGGAATAAGATAAACATAAGATAAATTGTGAAATGTGAAAATGTATTTATCGCCAAAGGGTAGGTTTACATGTTATAAAGAGGCGAAATATAAAACATGAATGAAATATGAATTTTAAAAAAAAGTAAGAAATTAAGGAACATCATTCAAAATCTTTATAAATTTTTTTGCATTGGAAACACGTTTTAAATGTCCAAAACATTCACTTGTGCCAGCTTTTCAAATGTGAGGATTTGATGCTTGTCTTTGTCATATATAATAACAAATTTAATAAATTGGAGCTTTGGACTCATCAAGTCATGTCAAACAAGCAATTTCAATTAATCATTTTCATCGTTTTCTGACATTAATGGCCAAAACATTTAATATATCAATCAAGAAAATTATTGCCGATGGCAAATTAATCTATAATGAAAATAATCACTAGTTGCAGGAGTTCAAGAATGTAGAAGATAGTGCAGAGGAGGAGATTTAAGCTGTGTTCTCCACCTTCTCTCTCGTGTCTTACATGAAAACATATTGTCAATTTAAAGGTCAGCATTTTATAGGAAATACTATAAAATAATCTGTCCCTAAATTGTAGATTGTAAACTAATGATAAACCACGCACAACCTAACATCTACTATTATGTGTATATTTGACCTGGGAAACACTTTGCTTTCTTGACAAGAGTTAGATGATCAGTATATCTGTTAACCAGGAGATAGATTGATTAGCTTAGCTTAGTTTAGCTTGCATAAAGGCTGGAAGCAGGGAGAAACAGCTAGCCTGGCTCTATCCAAAGGTTAAAAGAAATCTGCCTATCAGCAACAAACAAGTTGTAACACATTAATTAGTGAGATAGCCGTTTCTCCCTGATACCAACTGACAGATAAATATGTATATTTATGTCAAGCTATTCTTTTAACTCAAAGTCAACCCACTAGCTTATTCCAGGACCGTATCTCGATGAATATTGTGAGATGTAGTTGAAAGCTTTCCAAATAATCTAGTAAGTAGACACTGAGTTAATCTCTGCTAAATGCTATCTTTGTGAAACACCAGGTGACATTTTAAGAATTGTAAACTGTGAAGGGCATTAAGAATGGTAACATTAGGTAAGCACATTTTTCCTCTGTCTTTCTACAGAAACAATAGAGCTGCTGTGGAAAAGCAGTTATCAGTGGAGTCTAACAATAATTCACAGACAGACAGAGAAACTGGACCAGCTAGTGAGTAAAATACACGTGCGGTCACAAACACACATACACCTGCTGGGTTAATGTAGATCACACATGCTGAAACAGATTAGAGCTCCACAAGTGCTTTGAGCACCACCTCGACTGGAAAGGTTGTGCTCACGTGTTGAACACGGATTATCATGAGATGGCCATGAAAATTGGCTCACCAACACTATAAATAACCAGGGTTAGACTACTTAGTCATGAGTCTGGCATTGACCTTTTTAAGCATTTTTGGCAGCTGCTGAAGTCTCGCGGGGGTTGTTCTTGACCACCGATAAACAATTGAAGACATTTGTGTTTTCTTTGTACTTATTTTTATTTAATATGCTCCCATTGCTTAACAGATCATTGGTTTTACTATAAAGTTTTGTCACATGATGATCTTAATGCTGTCTTAGAGGATTTAAAATCCTGATGTAAACGCTGAGTCCTCACAACAAAGCTGAAATGGTTAGCTATTTTAACTCTCACACTATAGATCTCAAAATAGTATATTAATAATGTATATATCACGACAGTTACTTGTAACCTTGAATTGAAAAAAACTAACAGGTCTAACTGAGTTAAGGATTGGAAATAATAACATTCACTTTGAGAGGCAACCTACTTGTTTATTAAGAAATTTAGAAACTATTTAACTATTATATGGAGTTTGCCGCTTTCTGACACTTATATAATATCTGAAGATATGATAGATAGGCAGGCATGCAGCACTCACTTGATTAAAAAAGCTTTAAAACCATGGGTTCTTGCCCCAAATGTCCATATGTGACGAGTGAGAGCGGATTGAAACAACATAACTAGTACATAATATGTTCAATATAAGATGACATCAGTATGACAGTGATGTATGGCATGTGGATGAATTACATGTATGTGTAAAGTCACTGGTTCAGGACCCAGAAGAAACTTCTCCTCAGCTGTAGCAAAAGTATGCGTAGCTGCTGATGTATATAAAAATAGGCACCATCTGATGCACGTGGTAAGAGAGGTGTGTTTCTGTTTACGTGCATCCCTGAGGTGGTGACATTGGTGGTCAGGAAGAAGAGGATTCTCCACAACTGCTGAGGACCAGGAGTGATGCTTCCTTCATGCAGGTTCAGAGGAGGTCAAAGACACACACTGCCAGAGACCTGCAACGCTTGCGCGCACACAGGTTCTCAATCAACGGACACTTCTACAACCACAAGGTACAAAGAACAGAACACACATACGAGCACACGCGTTAATGCATCCCGTTGTTGACAAATCTCCAGGTGCAGCGGGGCAGAAGTTTCCTGTGCGGGTGTGCCTGTTCTGCTGAGTTTCACAATAGCCTGCTGTTTTCATTAATGTGCCACAGTGTACAAGGTTACACTGCATTCCTTCATCATTCTATCCTGAATACAGTATGTGTGTGTTGTTATTGAATAGCGTCCAGCTGCAGACTGAAGGATTTCCTTTCTGTTTTAGATTTCCTTATCAAAAAGTCCAAGAATCCCTTCTCAATCACAAGTGTTGATGAAGCAAAGTTCCCCGTACATTGTGTCCTCGGTGGATTTCTGCATTTTTGTTTCTTTTTCAGACATCAGTATTTACTCCAGCCTACGGTTCGGTCACTAATGTACGAGTAAACAGCTCCATGACGACCGAACAAGTCCTCAACCTGCTGCTACACAAGTTTAGGGTAAACAGTAAGACCCTGCTTACACCTGAAGTGATGTTTTAGTAAAACTTGAAATTATAAATAATCTGTATTTGTGTGTTGTAAGGTTGAGAATAAATCTGAAGAGTTTGTCCTATATATGGTGCACGAGTCGGGAGGTAAGTTGTAACTTTCATTGTGGTTTTGTCACCAGAAATGTCTGTGTATGTGTGATTGTGGCCATTTGTTTTCTTTGTCGATGACCCTGTAGAGAGGACCCGGCTTAAGGATGGTGAATACCCATTGGTGGCTCGTGTGCTTTACGGACCCTGTGAGAAAATCTCCAAGATCCTCATCACAGAGGCTGACCTGGGAGAGGAAGTCACGTATGATGTGAGTCTGGGCCTCCTGCCACTTCTCGCTCTGTTCTGTCATCTTGTTCATGATCAGTGCCCCTTTTACATTTTTTGTGTAGTCAACATAAACACACAATGACACAATGATAGACAGTCAGGTTAAATTTAGCAAGCTATGGATAGATATCCTGTTTCAGGACTGATGTAACAATAGGCTAAGATGACCGACTGTGTGTTGTGACTGTACTGAGTAATAAAACCAAAATGTTGCTGGAGAACTTTCTGGATTGTCTATGATTGGAAACACACTACAGTAATACATATGAACTCCGTAATAAAGGTCAGTTCATCCAAACAACCAAAATTAATTCTGACTTAACTCTAGTGGTATCTAGCCATGGTTTTGTTTTGAAATATCCAGCTATTATTTTTTGTTCGACGCCAACATAGTGGAGGTGATTGGAATTTTATCAAATATTCAACACTAATGTTTCTTTCCAGAAATAATCTCCGGGTTACTCTGTATGAAACACAGAACACATGTTAGATATTTTGATCTGCTTTGGACTGCATCGAGCCGTAGGGGGACATGGGCCAAAAATAAAATAAAATATCACGTTTCTCATGCTCACCAGAAAGTATCTAGTGGGCATGAAATGTTACAGGTATGTGTTTTTTTGTTTGATGTTTTTTTGCCCATGTCCCCTTATGGGCTCTATAGGACTGAATATAACATAGTCCTTTATATAAACGGTTCGCTCTGTGATTTATCCAGAATAACAGGAAAGCTGTTTCTGGAAACATAGGTTCCTGTTGTTTTTTTAAATTTAATTTTTATATGTATTTACATTTAATTTCATGTAAATTTAAAAAAAATCATGTTTTTTAGTGGTAGAGCTATTCTACCAAATTTTACCCTCTACTAGAAATCATCTTGTGTTGCACATTAGTATATCTTTTAGTATTTTCCTTTTAATCTTTATCATTTTATGGTTATTGGTTTGATTGTTTATTTGGACAGAGAAAAGAATGGAAGCCTTTTGGATGCATGTGCATCTAATGTGTGAGTGCAGGATGTGTCGCTCGCCTGTGCTCATATGTTTGAATCTTTCTCTCCCCAGGTTGCCCAATACATAAAGTTTGAGATTCCTGTTTTAGACAGCTTTGTAGAGAAACTTAAAGAGGAAGAGGAACGTGAAATAAACAAACTAACTAAGAAGTAAGTCAAGGGTCTCTCTACTCAGCAAACACAGTTACAGAACCAGTTCCAGTCTAGACAAAGCCTTCTTTGTGTAATCATTTCACTCATATGACTGAGATTTCAGCCCTGTAAACCCTGACATTGTGTGGACCCTGTGTGTTTTTATGTCAGGGTGACCATTTACTTGTGGAACATATTGTTTTTACACACACACAGGCATATTTTATAATTAAACATGTACACAAACATTATATAAGGATAAAAATGTTAAAGAATAAACCTGGTGATGTTTTTATATTGTTTCTTATTATGAAGAAATTCCATGATCTTGCTAACAAATATTGCCTGCATTAGCTCGCTCCTCTGTGCCATTGAACCCCACTGCCATCCAAACACATGCTGTTGGTTTTGGTCTTGGGATTTGGTGACAATGAGAAGCATAAAACCATGCTTATCCTTTAAAGTAATAGATGCAACTAATGTTTGGAAAAGTTAGTAGCTGTTCAGTTTATATGTTCTTTTCTATATGAATGTAAATAAATGCATTGTGCGTATTAGAGTGCCTGAGTATGAGCATAAGAGTGAGAGTCTTTTAATCATGTGTGTTTTCTCACCTCTGCAGGTACAGTGCTCTGAGGTCTATGATTCAACACCAGCTCGAAGGCAGAGATCACACCAGTGACAGAGTATGAGTGTTTCTGTATGCATGTACTGATGTAACCTGAGTGTGTGCGTTTTAGGGGAAGGGGTGGGTGCAACACTAATGACTGTTGATTTACGATGGGAACATTTCCAAATGCTGTAGTGATTGTAGAGGTAAAGGTAAAAGGGTAAAAGTTAAGGCTGCAAAAGAGTCATATTATACACCAATGTGCTTCTACATTTTATAGTTACATATCTCAACAGTTTGTATGTTTTGTTAATGTTATTACTATGGAGTGTATCACTGCTTTGATATCTCTGCTATTAATATATTTGCATATTCTTACTGCAGATATGGATATTTATACAAGCTGTTTTTGTAATGTTTTCTCTAACTTGGACCTTTTCATGAAATAAATCCGTTTAAGTGTGGCCTTTATAAATGCTGTTGGATCTGTGCTGACACCAAACATAATACCCAGCTCAGACTTCCCACAAAGAAAACAGCCATCTTTATTATTTCCTGCACTGACTGGAGCAAAGATTAGCATTGTTCTTCGGAGTGACCCTCTTTGCCAGCTAGTTCCCATGAGCTCTGTGTGTGTGTGTGTGTGTGTGTGTGTGTGTGTGTGTGTGTGTACCTATCAACATTACACAATGGGGTTATCCTGAGAGAGGAGGGCTGTACCTTTTTCCCACAGTTTCACAAAGAGCAAGACTGTTGTAATATTTGGTGGACCAACCTTCACCTTCAAAACTGACCTACACTCTGTTGACCATTATTGTTTAGTGTATTGATTAATCAGATAATAATAATAAAACACACACACACAAACACACACATATCCACATAAATTCCAAAAATAAAAAGCTCATGTTTTTGTTGAGGGTTTAGTTGATAGAAAGGCATGATTATAGATAGCACACATTTTTTTTTACATAAAGTAATTACATGACCAGACACAATCATATCCACATACGCCACACGGCTAAATACCTACTTCAAAGTACAATTACATTTGTTGGGCTTTGTGTGTTACTATCTCATTGTATTATTCCATTTTATTTTCCTGTCAACTTCATACATGCTGTGCTTTCTTAAAAACTTAATTGAACAATGTAGAAAAGAGAAATATCACACCAAAGTGTGAGTCTCATTAGTAATTCGCAGAGTCATCTCATTACTTTTAGAAAAGTAAAACCAACTGAACAAGTTCATTAAACTGGATCAACTACTGTTCAGGCAAATGTTACTTCTGTTTTGCATTTTCTCAGTTTGAGGCGTCAGTTATTCATTTGACAGAAATAACTTACAGCTGCAGCTGCTTCTGTTGCCTTTTCATACCAAGGTTGGTGCAAACACAGCATCTAGGCTGCTGCCAGTAACTGTATAAAGTGTAAGGGGGTAGGGACTGAAAGTAGTAAACTAACCTTTATCGTGGTTGACATTGTTTTCATTATTATGAAAAGAAACAACCAAGAAGATTCTCAAATGCATTTATGAAATTGTATTAATATGTCAATCATGTTTCTTTAGAGACTTTAGTGAACTCTTGGTTGTGAAATCCTCATTTCAGGTCAAGTTAGAACAACTTGTGCATGTAAGGTCTAAAGTTCTCTGACAATAAAATGTAGAAATTAACAATTCAACCCTGCTTTAGGTTATAATATTACACTGTAACATATCAGTGTAGAATTATAACCTTACGCAGGAGTGGGTTATGAATGAGAATAATGACAAAGAACTGACATAAAAAACAGTGATTGTGTTCTTTATATGAATATGTTATTTCCAGGAAATAACCAGGCAGGCCAGGAATAAATAATACTGACTAATATACAAATATTTGAATGTGGGAGCCTCTTCCACCCCCCTCTTAGCAGCCCTATCAGCTGTCTACATGGTGGTGGCACACTGTTTACTATAATTATGGCAGACATAGCCTACTTCGGAGGCGCGTGCGTGCATTCAGACAAAGTAGGAACATGACACGTGGCCTCTCAAAGAGAAGGTCTGAGCTTTCATTCAGCAATTATTATCCGTCTGGGCTGAACTGAACCACACGGTGCCTCTCAGACAGACATTAGGAGACCACATCACCTGCTGGTTTAAGATTCAGCCAATTATGTATGTGTCAACCTGCAGAACAGGCTGCAAGGGCGTTAAATACAAGGAAGTACGAATCGAGTCTGTATGAGTCCACAACTGAAGTGAACGTCAGATGACATGACTATAAGGATAGGCTAGGCTAAGCTAGTATTTGTTAATTGCAAAGCGAGTATGGCTGTAAATACGGCCCCAAATATAGTTATAATAGGATGCGGGATTGCAGGTGTATCAGCGGCACACATGCTCGTGAAAGCTGGATTTCATCACGTGCGGATACTTGAAGCGACTTCAAGAAGCGGGGGACGAATAAAAACAGGCACATTGGGTGAGCGACGTTATGTGCAGTAAGAAGGCTAATACCTAAAAGTAGATTTTCTCAAACAAAAAAAGACAAATACAAAACAACAGGCCACAAATGATGCAGTTGCATATGTGTCAATTTGAAATACATTTTATAGGTAGTACATTTAAAGCATCGAGGTTCAGAGGCCTGAAGAGAAAGCTCAGGTAGATCTATAATAAACAATCTGTTTGGCCCATGATTTTTAAAGTTATGTTCCCAACCTTTTTTTTCCTCTACAGGTAAAAACATTACTGAGATAGGTGCAAGTTATATCCACGGTCCATCTGAGGAGAACCCACTGTTTTGTCTGGCTCGAGACTATGGCCTCCTGGATCCAGAGGCCCTCACTCCAGAGAACCAGGCCATTGACGTGAATGAACGTCCTCCCTGGGTTCCCAACTGGTTCAGCAGTTCAGGTCTCCAGATGCAGAAATTCACCATGTTACCTGCCTGTTATCTGGCTTTGTGTGCATTATCTTTTACAATGATAAACAGAAGGGGTCCAGTTGTCTGTCTTTGTGAAAGTGCAGAAATAACAGTGTTATTGTTATTAAAATGTTATTTTCTGTGGGTGATGTGCAGGTCAGAGGCTGAGTGCTGAACACATGAGTACAGCTGTGGAGATGTTTTATGAGCTGGTGGATGATACTTCACAGTTTGAGAATCAAAAGGAAACACCCTGGGCCAGCGTAGGACATTTCATGCGATCAGAGGTTGTATTTCAACGATCAAATCATTTTCCGGGTGTTTAAGTCTGAGAAGTTCTTGATGTGGTTGTTTGGTACTGTGTGCAGGCACGACAGCGAGCAGCAGAGAAGTGGAAAGATGAGGATGAAACCACCAGGGAGCTGCTACTGTGTGCAGTCAGTACCATGTTGAAGGTGGAGTGCTGCGCCAGTGCGACTCACACCATGGATGAGATAGACCTGGCGGGATTTTGGATGTACAAGAGTCTAGCTGGACTGGACTGCACATTGCCAGGGTTTGTACTCCACAATCTTATAAACATATTCTTCACACAATGCACACCAAATAAAGGGTATAAACCTGTAACACTGTATGTAGGCCTGAATGAGGGATTGTACATATTTACCTCTCTTCCCGTGAGCGACCCTGTACGCAGGATAAGTGGTTGACGATGGATGGATGGATGGAATTGATTACTCATAAATCAACTTTTCAATTGACAGAAAATTAATTGGCAACATTTTTTTGAGAGAATCTTGTACATTCTTTGGTTCAGCATTTTAAAATGGAAGGATCTGCCACTTTTCTCTGTCAATTGTTTTTTTTTTTTTTTTACATTTTCTGTTTTTAGACTGCACACAACATTGGAAGACATCAACTTTGACCCCAAGAAAAGAGTTTTTTTTTATTCTGAAAAAAAGTATAAAATAGTAAAAAAAGAAAAAGTATGAAATAAGTTGTATAATAAAAATGTTCTCAGTTCACCTTTTATCATAAATAAATCGTAATAAATCAAGTGAGTGGTAGGGTCATGTTGCCATTAAGTATAAAGCAATCTGACTTCTTTTTGCAAGAAGTGGAGTCGCCCCCAACTGGCCATTACAAAGAATGCAGGTTTAAGGCACTTTAAGCATTAGCTTCCCTTTAAGACCAAGAGGTTCCCGCTTGAGAGCTAAGCATGTGCATCCAGGTAACTTTTATTTGTGCCTTTTTCTTGCAGTGGCTATGAAGGCCTCATCAGGAGCTTGATGTTGGAGCTCCCCACTGATATAGTGACCTACAATCGGCCTGTGCACTGTGTCCACTGGTGTAACACAGAGAACCCTGAAGTAAACTCAGTGACAGTTGAGTGTGATGATGGGGAGAGGATTGCTGCTGATCATGTTATTGTCACAGTGCCTCTAGGTAGACCTCTACACACAAACTGTACTGTTGTTCATGTGAGCGCATGAAATAGAATGATTGTAAATGAGACAACAGGACTCCTTTGAGAATTTTATTAGGTGTGGGGGATTTGCTTTTATTGGTAACATTTTGGCTAAACAGTAGAGGTGGCCAGTAGAGGTGGTAGCCCCCATACCTAATAAAATTCTCAAAGGAGTCCTGTTGTCTCATTATATATATATTTTTTTAAAGACAGATTTAAAGAAATTATAAATAGGTTAAATAACCAGATGGGAGTTTCTGTTTTCGGTTAATGTTGCTAAGTCAGTATCTGACAATTCAACTCATCACATTAATGCAAAACTCATATAAACAACAAATTTTGTTGTAAAACAGTCTGTTGATTTGCAACATTTTCTACAATATATAAGTATAACCAGGCAAAAATGAAGTAGTTATCTCAGTATAAATGTAATGGCAAAATCTCTGTCATCATATCAGCCACCCCAATCATACAGTATGTAAGCATTACCTTTTTGTCTTTGCCAGGATACCTAAAGAAGCACCATTCAACCCTGTTCTGTCCTCCTCTCCCTGCACACAAGCTGCTCTCCATCCAGAAACTAGGATTTGGAACATGCAACAAAATATATGTAGAGTTTGAATCACCATGGTGGGATGCTGACTGTGAGGTCATCTACCTGGTCTGGAAAGATGAGGTCTGTAGTGCAGCCATGAACAACAGAATACATTTACTAGCATAAAAAAGGCAGTAATCACAAACCATATTAATAACATAACCTAAAATAACCTAATAATCCATTTTTTTATAACTAATGCATCACAGATAAAAAAACCCAACCTAAACTATAGACTGTAACCACACACATTGTTTTTACACTCTTTGTGTTACAGGAGGATGTTTTGGACCAGGTGTCAGATATAAAGAAATCCTGGATAAGGAAGATGTCAGCTTTCACTGTGCTCAAACCTTCTGAAAGGTCAGCAACATACAATGCACCTGAACATTGACAGTTGCTCATTCTTCCCTATACAAGGCTTTCAATGAACCCATTCGTGTGACTCCACTCGCTAATTATGGTTAAACTCTCAGATATAGCCATGTTATCTGTGGCTGGATCGCTGGGCATGAGTCTGAGTATATGGAGACGCTTCCTGAGCAGGAGGTCAGACGTTCCATCACGGAGCTCATCTGTACATTCACAGGTTAGTCTCAAATCTGTGGTATCGGCCTGTAGCTGCCTCCTGATTGCTAGTATGGATGAAAATGGATAGTAATACATGAGTTCTGTAACTGCTTTACAAAGAAGACAATCACAATAAATGACAGGAAATGCATCACATCAAATTAAAGATGTGAGAAAGAAAAGGAAGATTGACGACACAGTAAAATTTAAGTTTTGTAAAACCTCAAAAAAAAGTTGAATGAACACAAGCTTAAAAGAACAAAAGTAAATTATCCAATCAGAGGAAGACAAAAATGTGATCAGTTGGTAAATGGAAAACACAAGCAAGTATTTTTTTCTTAAGAAATCTGTAACGTATAGTATCGCACTATCGTAAGATTAGAGAAGTATTAAAAGAAGTCTTACTAATGTTAATACTAGTGCTACTAATACTCAATAGTGTAATTTACACACTGAGTGAACAGTTAACTAGCTTTCAGCTACAGTTGTAGGAGTTTGTTGCTTGCAGGCTTAAAAATAGTGGGCATTTAATGCATTTACATTAAATCAGTGCATTATATGACTGATAACTCAGATCAGTCAGGTCAGATTGTTCAGAGCAATACAAGATTACCAGTTGTAATTAACACTGGGATGTTGATGCAAATGGTGTTTACACTTTGAAAACTGGTAATGGCACTGCAACTTGTGTGATGGTGCCACCTTCTGGCCAAAATGTATGTTTTGATTCACTAATTGTAAGAATATCTAATATCTGTCTTTAGCAATGTATGCAACAGTTGTAATGTAATCATTTTAATGCTTTGACAACTGATCCATAACATTGTTAAACTGAGTCTACTTTGGGAGCTAGAGTTGGCTGAATGATTTCCCCTTAGTTCTGGTGAAATGCCATTCTGCTACTTCATTTTCCAGAACTTGTGGGGGCAGATTTATCTTTTTAGTAGATGCTGCGCAAAGTGCCGCCTGTTTGAGGTGAAGTAGCCAATAGCAAGTCATGTACTAGATTCAAGATCCAAACTGTTGAACTGTGTGTGTTCAGGTAACCCCACCATCACCCCAAGGAGAATCCTGCGTTCCCAGTGGTTTCAAGACCCCTGGACATGCGGATCCTACAGTCACCCAGCAATAGGCTGTTCAGCGCAGGACCTGGAGAACATGATGGAGCCCCTGCCCACGAAGGGATCGCAGTCACAGGTACAGAGACATGGTTTATTCACACACAAACACACATGTGCATACAGAGTGCACAAACTCACAAAATATAAATTCCAAATATCTCTCGGTTCTAACTGCATGGGTGTGTTTCAGCCCCTGCAGGTGTTGTTTGCTGGAGAGGCTACTCATCCCTGCTACTACTCCACCGTCCATGGAGCTGTCCTCACTGGGTGGAGAGAAGCTGATCGACTCATCTCTCATTATTCCTACGTCAGTCCATGTAGCCAACCAGATTAAAAATTTTAGAAGATGGACACGCTGAATGCATGAAAACATTTCAGGGTAGCAAATGATTGTCCATGCATGCCCAAATATACTTCATCTCCTGTGTCCATAGCCACTGTGACAGAAATGTCCATACAGACTGGAATTGTTTGCACATTGTCACAGTCCGATGAGATAGTTCAAATAAACTGTACATTAAACCATATAGGCATACATAAATCAACATGCACTACTTTGTTGCAGGAACAAATTTACAATATGGGTTAGGTGATTAGGTGAGTACCTAATCACCTAAAATCTCCTAAAACTAAGATGGGACACCACATCGTTGAGCCACTCCTTGAAACAAAGTGGGGATTCAGGTTCTCCATTCTCCCAAAATAACCTGTTAAGTATAAACCACACAAGACATTAAAGCTTATGTTCTTTTCTTTTCAATTTTGGGGGCCATCAAGGCTGGATTACCAACCGGGCAACTGCCTTTTTGGCATACTTCAGGGGTCCTGAAAGTTCCAGGCTTATTGTGTATATACATAGAGGGACACTGTAAATTAACCACTGAACACTCGGTGAACCTGTGTTTCTCACTCATCTCAATCCATCTCCTTCATAGTTGTTGACTCCACTCAGGGCAGAGTGAGGTAGTGGGGTTGAAAGCCCTAAGAGACCATTTCTTAATATGTTACAGAGAAATCTTCAGTCTTTGCCAAAGGTTGTTAGAGCTGATGGCCACATTACTGTGGAGAGGAAACCATGGATGGCTGAAACACTGGCTAAAACTTTAGATGCCCATTTCTGCAAGCAAAAAAAATAATAATAAAAGGTTATGACTAAAAAATATAAATACTAATTGTAATATTAAATAATATTAGATAAATCAAAATAATGACTGAAGCTAGGCTTTAACATTTTATGAGTGAATTTTAAGGTATAGGCCTTTAAGGCAACTAGAGTGTAGGATCCAAATAGTCTTTGACTGAATATCCCATGCTGTGACCTTTTAACAGTATTCTGCCACCTTTACAGTGGTAAAAAGTAAATAAGTAGCCTATACTGAACTTAAGTGTAATTTTCAGATACTTTCCTTGAGTATTTTCATTTCCATCTGCTAGTTTATACTTCTAGCCTAATCCACTACAATTAAGATGTGTTTTAGTATCTAAAATAATTCGATTTAGCCCCACCTTTAATATCTGCAACATTAAAAGTGAAGCAGCTACACATTAATGAGTAATGAATAATTATCATTATAACCCAAAAATGATATACTCCTTAAATGTCCCATTTTGCATTACTAGTAGCCCACTTGTGCTTTTAAGATTTTAAGTAGGCTACCCTAGCCTATATGATGATGCTAATAATACTTTAGTCAACATTTTAATGCATGGCTATTTTTACACGGTCGTATTGAGGACTTCTACCACTGCACATTTACAACTCGGTCCAGGTGTCTGTGTCTCCTTAAGAAGGCTTTTATTTTGAAACTCTTAACCGGAAGACGTTTTAGGTGGTCGTCGTCGTCGCCTGTCTCTTTGACCCAGAGGCAGGATATGACCGTTAACCGACGGAGTCAGTTAGCAAGTTAAATGTGTGTATTAGTGCGGAATAAGCTACGACTATGAGAGTGGACGCTAAAATAGTTATAATAGGATGCGGGATATCAGGTGTATCAGCGGCACACAGGCTCGTTGAAGCTGGGTTTCATCATGTGCGGATACTTGAAGCGAGCGCAAGAAGCGGGGGACGAATAAAAACAGGCAGACTGGGTGAGCGACAATGTACTTACAACTTTGACTGCGCTTTCTCTTTCGGGTTTAGTAAATTATAAAAATACATTTTCTTGCGGAGCCTCAAAAGTCACGGTAGGATTTAAAACACTTTAAATAAATAAACACTTTTTCATTCTTTCTCAAGAAGGTTTGCCGTTATCCATCAGAGCAGCTGCTCCACAGAGTAGCTGAGCTGTGACAGGAGCACACAGAAGAAGGCTACTATAATGTTACTTCAGGAGCTTGGGTTTTATTGTCTAAACTATAGGCTATTGCAAGTTAAGGCAAAAGAAATTCAGAAACCCAAATCGGTTCTTTGAGTAGCGTCTGTCCCAGAGTGCTTTATCATAATACTTCAGGGCTCAACAGTAAGGATTGCCCGTTTGCCTGGTGCACACACACACAGCGAAGTCAAGCTACCAATAGCAACCTGCTAACAAATCAAATATTCACATATCCCTGTGATCATCCAGATGAAGGTTAGATTTAAAGTAACCAACAGTTTAATGTTTAACTAACAGTTTGCTCACTTAACAGGATTTTCTGTTCTGATCTCTTCATTCTTTCTAAACTTCACTTAGTATTTCAATGTCAGGAATATGATCTATTTTATTGACATTTTAGATTTGTTTCCAGTGAGATGTTATTAAGTTTATGTACTTTGGTGTTGTAAACATCACTGCTGCTGCTCTATAAACAACAGTTAGTGACTTATTCAAGTAGGCCAATTAAATTTTAATCATGTTCTAAATTTATTCTTTTTCTATTCTTTTATCAATGATAGTAGTGGAATCACTAAAAATCATAAAATCAGCAGTAACCCCTCTCCCAAGAAAATAGCAGCAGGTGAAGAAGTTCATGATAATTTATCACTTACAGCTAAGAGTCCATCAGAATCAGTTAAACTTTGTTGATCCCAGAGTGGTAATTTGTTTTGTTACACTTCTTTGGGCAGAAGGAGTGGGGATTGTTGTACCAATTTTTGATATGCAAGAATGTTTGCTTTGCATCTATGGCAAACCTGTCCTTGTTCTGATTCATTCACTTGATTATTTATAAAGACTAAACATGAAAATAAACTTTAGTCTTGTTGATATTTAATAAGCACTAATAAATCATACAATTTGTATAGGAGCAAGTAAAAATTTGACTTTGGGCAGGTAGATTTCTGCCTGGGCAAGTTGGGGGAAAGAACATTGAACCCTGTAGCTTAAGCTTTAATTTATTTTTGCGTGGAAAAATGATTCCACGCTAAAACTGATCTATCCAAGTAATGTCTCACCTAATTTTGTAAATGTATTGAGCAGACTTAGCTGTGTCTGCTGTAAATCATGTGACTCATAAATTTAAGAGAGAATTGCACAAGCGTTAATTCACTTTAACAACCTATCATAAACAAACAGCAATAAAGTTGCTGTGAAGGAGCAAAAATCCTATTCATTTCTCCAACTGCACAATGTTTATTTTTCTGTAGGTGATAATATTGTTGAGATCGGGGCAAACTGGATTCATGGACCGTCCAATGAAAACCCAGTGTTTTGCCTGGCCCGTCAGTACGGGCTCCTGGATCCAGAGGCCCTCAACCCAGAGAACCAGGCCGCGGACGTCGGAGGACATCCCCCCTGGGTTCCCAACGTCTTCAGCAGTTCAGGTCGCCAGATGTTTTAAAAATCATAGCCTATTTTAAGACTGTATTTTTGTTACACTCTCGTTAATTCTGTATTATTTATTTGTCGCAGTCAATTGCTAAAAGTATCTAATAATAATTGAAAAGCAATAACATAATACAGAGGAGAAGCAGATGTTATTTGCCATCTTATGCTGCCCAGCAGAGATGCATCATGCTGAGCTGCAGCAGGTAGTCGTGTTAGTGTGTCCTCTCCCTGTAGACAGATAGAGTAGATTTCAGATAGACTCACAGTAAGTTGTTAGAGCAGTCTGCTACTGCAGACAAGTCACAAACAAGTCACTGCCACTAACGCAAGTGCTTATTTAAACTAAAACTGGATATAAACATCAGGAACCAGCATTTGAGCAGCTGTAAATTACAGCTATGCTTACAAGTGCTTTTCATTGTTGTATTTAACAGCAGTGTCTTTGATATAGTCTGGTTATTGATTAGCCCACTTACTGTAGCGTGTAAGTGAAGGGATGTAAGTTGGTAAACCTGATGACATATTTTAGTATAAAAAGTATTCTGTGGGTAATGTTATGTTTGCAGGTCGGAAGCTGACTGTTGAGGACATCCAGCCTGCTATAGAGATGTTTGCTGAGCTGCTGAATGAAAGTTCAGAATTTCAGAGTCAAGGAGGAGAACCCTGGCCCTGTTTGGGAGATTTCATACGGTCAGAGGTACATTTCTTTCAGTGACTATAAATAATAATAATACCGGCAGTGTGTTTGTTCGCTACCGATATCAGAGATCAGCTGCCAGCCAGGATCGTCTTGAGTATATCAGATGTTCTTGATAATAAACTCAATCTTGCAAGACTCAAGAGTCTGTTTTGTTGCTTGTTGTGTAGCGCAGGTGCAAAAACGAGCAGCAGATAAGTGGAAAGATATTGATGCAACCTCTAGATCTCTGCAACTGTGTGTGATCAGTAACATGATGAAGGTGGAGTGCTGTGTTAATGGGTCTCACAGCATGGATGAGATGGGCCTGGGGGCCTTTGGCCTGTACAAGACTCTACCTGGACTGGACTGCACATTCCCAGGGTCCGTACTCAAGCAACACACAATATTCATGAAATCATTATTTCCTAAATTTACATATTAATAATCAAAGCATGCACCATTTATTTTAAGGTGACATGAAATAAAGATAACGAAACAAATCTTAATGTTAGTTTACTGATACATACAGTGCATAAGTCTGTTAATTAACTGATTGTTTCAGCACACATGCATAATGTGTGTACAGTATGTGTCCGAATGACTTAGACATTGTTTTCTTTCTTGTGCAGTGGTTATGAAGGTCTAATCAAAAACCTGATGTTGGAGCTTCCCAGTGGTTTAGTGACCTACAATAAGCCTGTGCGCTGTGTCCACTGGAGCAACACAGAGAAGAAAGAAAACCCTGTGGTGATTGAGTGTGACACTGGGGAGAGGATCGCTGCTGATCATGTTGTTGTCACTGTACCTCTAGGTAGACTTAGACGCTAAAATTTAAAAACACAGTTTGCTATGTTCCTTGTCAATGTATGAAACTCTTCACACCACGCACGTGGAGAGATTTAAAGCACACCATAGGCATGACTCAGATAGCAGATACCTCATCAACTTGAAATGACTACTTAATCTAAATTTTGTGAATAGCACTTTTGTACTTAAAGGCCCTGCACACCCACACCGATGTTTTCACTTATTTTTGGCTAATTAGACTTCTGCTCAGGTTGAAGTTTGGTGGCTCTTTCTTAAATTACGTGAGCTTACCAAATTGTACGTATGACCCATCAATAATTATAAAGGTGTAATATCTCCCATCCAATATAAAACTAATAGTCGGGTCAGTCAGATGTCTATAAAGCACAGGCTGTACACATCTACACAGTCGTTATACAACGATGACATGTAAACACCTGTGTGGGTGGACAGTGGGTGTATAGGACCTTTAACATTTTCAGCCAGTTACTGTTGCGTTGGCATTGCCAACATTTTTATGTGGTACCAAAATATGGTATATATTTTAATAAAATTATCCATCTATAGACTAAAGCAAAAACAAAATGAAAGAAATGTATCACAATAAATTAATGAATTAATCAGTGCTGCCTGAGAGAGATCAGCAGCATGAGTGAGGCTTTTACGTAAATTCGAGCTCTTCAGTACCAAGCATAACCTAACTGGCTCTGGGTTCTTCTATTTCATCAGGATACCTTAAGAAGCACCACTCAGCCCTGTTCCGGCCTCCCCTCCCTCTACACAAGCTGCACTCCATCCAGAGACTAGGTTTTGGGACAAACAACAAAATATTTGTGGAGTTTGATTCGCCTTGGTGGGATGCTGACTGTGAGGTCATCCATCTCGTGTGGGAAGATGAGGTGAGGCATGTTGTCAGTGAATAAAAGGTGTACATTTACTGTAAAGTTCATGCATACGCAATGGTGTCTACTACAGCTTTAATAAAAAAATACTGTAATAAACCTAGATTTAGATGTAGATATGTCCCATACAAAGAATATTTCAATTATTAAAGCATTCAAAGGAAGAAGAATCACCGAGGCTTGTTGAGACAGATGAACCTTTATTACACTAAATTAATTTTTCAGTAACTTCAGTAACACTTTTCCCAGAGGTCAAGAGATGATATTGAGAGCACACGTCATCAAGGCTGCCGCATTTTAAGTCTTTCAGTGATGGTGGACCAAAAATGATCGGCTTTAGATAGGAAGGTGGAAGTCTGACAATCTTGGGTAGAGGTGGGCTGCTACCAAAGCCTCCATAAGCAGCATGCAAACCTAGGGAAGACCCTCCTTGATTAGGGGTTTTGCTGGAATATGGGTTATCTTTCCACGAGACCTTTTCCAAGAGGCAAAAATGGGAAAAGTTGACTTAAGTTAACTCTGTTTGGGAGTTATGTCCTTACAGCGGGACTGAGGAGCCTCTGCTGTGATGGTTATCACAGCAGAGAGCTGACCATCTGGGCGGGGGGGGTTAATCACCAGTTCGATATAGTTTTCCTCAAGAACGACAGAATTACCTTTTCACATATGCCAGAAATGTTTGATTTGACACTTGAACTGTTTGTTTTATCTCTTGTCCTGATCCAGGATGTCATGGTGGACCAGGTGCCAGATGTACAGAGATCCTGGATAAAGAAGTTGTTTGGCTTCACTGTGCTCAAACCCACTGAAAGGTCAGTAACCACATTATACACACAAAGGCTGATGCTTGCCTAGCTTGTTTATGTTGTATTTCATTGAAAATAATGATTATTTGATTAGGAATGCAGTCCTGTTTGTGTTTCAACATTCAGGTATGGCCATGTTCTGTGCGGCTGGATCGCTGGGCACGAGTCAGAGTATATGGAGACACTGTCTGAACAGGAGGTCACACACAGCATCACACAACTCATCCGCAGGTTTACAGGTGAGTAATAAGTCATAAGCATCAGGGAACAATACACCTCCATTAAAAGCACATTTCTTCCACAGTAGGAATTTTTTATTTTCTAAAAATGTTTCCAGTGATCTAACTCTGTGTGTTTAGGGAACCCTACAATCACCCCAAGGAGAATCCTGCGCTCCCAGTGGTTTCAAGACCCCTGGACATGCGGATCCTACAGTCACCCAGCAATAGGCTGTTCAGCGCAGGACCTGGAGAACATGATGGAGCCTCTGCCCACAAAGGGATCACAGTCACGGGTACCTACATGTTCATAACACAAATGTGTGCATTGAGCATATTTAAAGGTGGAAAATCCTTTTTATCTAACTTTTTCTCCCGTTTCAGCCCCTGCAGGTGTTGTTTGCTGGAGAGGCTACTCATCCCTGCTATTACTCCACCGTCCATGGAGCTGTCCTCACTGGGTGGAGAGAAGCTGATCGACTCATCTCTCACTACTCCTCCGTCAGTCCGTCAGAGCCACCCAAGTCAAAACTTTAAAAGAACAACGCTGCAATGACATAAAAAGAGATTTATAACTTTATGGCAGGAATTGTGATTCTGATAATGATGTTATTTCATTAAATACATTAAGGATAAAGCTTTAAATCAACTGATGAAAGGCATCTTTATATTAGGTATATTTTTACTGATGAAAAATCAAGGATGAACTTGAAATGACACATGTTGTAATCGTGTACAAATCAGTTCATAACAGTTATAAGAATTAATAGTAACTGGCTGTAACTATAATTGTAAATATGATTAATACATTATACAGTTATAAATACATTCATAAGTCAATCAGTAAATGAATGTGCACATGAATGTGCAAAACAAAATTCATGTACTAATTAAAATGTTTCCTTACTTTTTGAACTTACACAAACTTGGTTCTCACATTATGATTAATTTTGAATGATTTGTTGAAACCATAGAAAGGTTGGATTTTAAAAGGTAAAGCCTATATAAAAGTGTGTAAAAGCACTACAGATGTTCGACTAGGAACCGAACAAGGTTGATGTTGAGACTGAATACTGTAACACCAGAGTTAAACAGCCATCTGGGTTTTGTGATCGTTGTTAAACCGAGGAGTCATTAGAGCACACACTATGTGTATGACAAAAATATTCTGCAGAAAGAAACACACCAAAGGGCAACCCAGAAAGTTTATATTAGAAGAAATGAGTTTGAATGTTTTATTTAACCTTGGCTCAGGGATTTATGACAGCACATTTGCTAAACAAAACTATAAGCCATTTTTCAGGGCCATCTAAGAGTTACTCCGGCCAACACTCCAGCATAGTAGGTGCACCTTAACATTGGTAGCCACCCAACATTAAATGGTAAAAAAAAAAAAAAAAAAAAGAAGAAGAAAAAGGAAAATATTTTAGAGATTATCACATTTGTCAGAGCTGGGGTTTTACTTTTTATATTAAATCTTTTTTTGGCCAATAGAACCACCAGCTGAACTGTACTTACGCAAAACACAAACACACAAACCTGAGGTACTTGTACTTGACTTGAGTCTTTTCTTTTCTTGCCACTTTCTACTTTTTACGCCACTATCCTGATCGGACAGTTTTAGTTACTAATTACTTTACAAATTAAGATTTTTTGCATGCAAAATATGGAAAGAGCTTATAAAATGTTTTGTTGTAAATTAAACTACCCCACAGTTTATACAAGTACAGCTGAAACAATTAATCAATAATCAATGAAGTCCAGTTTCACAAATGTGAGGATTTGCTTTTCCTTTGAATTATTTAAACTTACTTTTTTCATATTTTGAAGTTTGGCCTGTTGCCTGGGCAAAAACACATTCTGGGTTACTGTGATGGCATTTCTTACTATTTTCAGATTTTTATCAATTTAGACAATCTATTAATGGAGAAAATAATCAGCAGATTAATCCATAATTAAAATAATCATTAGTTATAATGGTTCAAATGAGCTCCACCTCAACCAACTGTGAAAGTAAAACCCTGCTTTTACATTAACTTATAAGTAATAATAATTAATGATATGATACATTTATATACATATAGCAGTCGCAGGGGACATTTTACATTGTGTACTTATAATAAAATCACTATCTCTTGGAGCCGTATTGTGTAGGAATTGAATACCTGCCATCAGTGTACATAAAGTATTTTAAACCTTTACTTAAGTAATCAGCATTGATAATACACTCAGCACAATGTAAACATACACATAACTTTAAAAAGCCCTTCTTTGAAAATGAAAAGGAAACGCGCTGAAGTGTAATCAGGAAAATGTGCTTTATGTAATTTTTTCCCCTGCAGAGGGCAGTAGCACACCTACAAGCGTATATACAACAAAAAAGAACACAGAAGAAGAAGTGGATTCGGGTGGGCATGTAAACAGTGTGGTGATCACCTCAGCAACATGTCTAGTGCAGTAGGTTTGGTAGCTATTCGGTCAAAACAACAATTTTATTAACACAAATGAAAGCCTGCAGTTAGTCGTATTTGGATGAACAGCAGCCATGAGACTGTACCAGGCACTCCGTAATGTCGGCAAGTTCAGGACCGTTTTCGACTTCGGTGGACGGGAAGTGGCTCATTGGTTCCCCGGACACATGGCTAAAGGTGACAGCTTTGCTGAAAGTTATCTCCGAGATATGTAAGATGTATGTAGCGGTCACATACTCGCTGTAATAATGGTTTTACCTTCCTGTTTGCAGGACTCAGGCAGATGAGAGCCAGCCTCAAGAGTGTGGACTGCATTATAGAAATCCATGATGCCAGAATATCCTTTTTATTTAATTATTTTTTACTGTATTGATGTTAGAATATAGCAGACCAAGTGCCATCTTGTTTTTAATTACATATTTAACATGTAAGTTAATTCAGGATATCATCATAGCATTAGTATTGTGTTAATATATCTTCTGGTAGTGCCAGAAGCAGCCAGAGTATGCCAACTGCTAGTCTTTCATTGTGTAAGTTTTAGGCTTGTATGTTTCATATGTGTTAAAGCAAATTGCCACCATGCAAATCGTAGTATTGTAGGATATTAAAAGTGTGCACAGTCTAGGGTGAACAAAGTTTTAAAAAAGGCCGAGCATTTTTGCCCTTGGGAGCCAGAGCAGGTTAATCTGATTATGCTGCTATTTACTGCAGAGGTGAAATGAGAACTATATGATGCTTTTTTTCTTTAACATTAAGCACATCCCTTTCTCTGGGAGAAACCCCGCGTTTCAGGAGACTTTGGATGTCAGACCACATCTCCTAATTCTCAACAAGATGGACCTCGCTGATCTGTCCAACAAGCAGGTCAGAAGGCTTGCTGCTGTTGAGGGAGAGTCATTTGTCATCAGCATTTTAAAATTGCCAACACAAAATTATGTCTTTACGTTTACCTCACAGAGGATCCTAAAGAAGCTAGAAAAAAACGGGGTGAGGAATGTTCTCTTCACAGACTGTTTAAAGCAGAGAGACGACAACATCAAAAAGGTAAAGGTTGCCTTGAATGGATACTAAACATTTGACAGAAATTCAGCTGATATGAAATAAAGATTATGGACATGAATGTGCCAGTTATTCCTGTTTTGTTTTTCTGTAGTTGGTGCCAATGGTGGTGGACATCATTGAGAGCAAACCACGCTTTAACAGAGATGAGGTAAGCTTACTCCAGGCAATTTAATAATATATCATCAACTTACGGGGGGGCGGGAGGTGGGGCTACGAATGATAGCCCCTTAGACATTTTACAGCTGTCAGTTCTCTCTGACGGAGGAACTGTGTCTACACAGTTTCTAAACAACCTCAAGCATAATTTCTTGTTACTTATCGCCTAAGATGTACACCATTACCAACTGTGAGCTGTGAACAATGCTCATCAAATAATACAACCCATTTCTCCTTAACTCCAATTCAATCTAATTCTGATTCCAATGGAGGGTAAAACCAGTATATTGGCCTAAACGTGTCATTTGAATCTTTCAGAATATAAATTATTGCCTGATGGTGATTGGAGTGCCGAATGTGGGGAAGTCATCTCTTATTAACTCATTACGAAGAACAAACTTGAAAAAAGGTATGTATAATGAAGTAGTAGATAGTTGTTTGATATTGATTCGGTATGATACGTCTCCTCCTCAATAATAAATATTAGTAATGATACACCCATTCCAGGTCGTGCATCTCGAGTCGGTGGGGAGCCAGGCATTACAAAAGCAATCCTGACTAGAATTCAGGTGAGTGCAGGAGACATCTTTGTATTTGTGTGTGTGTGTGTGTGTTCATGGGTTCATTGTGGGTGCGTGTGTGTGTGTGTGTGTGTGTGTGTGTGTTCATGGGTTCATTGTGGGTGCGTGTGTGTGTGTGTGTGTGTGTGTGTGTGTTCATGGGTTCATTGTGGGTGCGTGTGTGTGTGTGTGTGTGTGTGTGTGTGTGTGTTTATGGGTTCATTGTGGGTGCTTGTGTGTGTGTGTGTTCATGGGTTCATTGTGGGTGCGCACATTTATAGTATTTGCAACTGTCTTTGTCCTCAGGTGTGTGAGCGACCCATAATGCACCTGTTGGACACGCCAGGAGTCTTGCCTCCTAAGATTGAGAGTGTTGAAACAGGCATGAAGCTTGCTTTATGCGGTGAGCAGAACAGGATTATTATTTTTTTCCAACATAATTAGTGTCAAACCATGTGGAAACTTGTTGTACTGTTTTCAGTGGGATTGCTGTTACATCTGTCTGCATATGAGGTTTTTCCAATGGGCTCAACAAAGTTTTTTCTTTGCTTCTCCAGGAACTATTCTGGACCATTTAGTTGGTGAAGACGTTATCGCTGACTACTTACTGTATTCTCTGAACAGGCTAGGGAGGTTCAGGTGTGGCTTATCTCCCTAAATAATAATAGAGGGAACTTTCATGCCTTTTTTATTCCTTTTGCTTGACCTTGCTGTGATTGTTAACGGCATGTGTTTGTTTATGTGCAGTTATGTGGAGAAATATGACCTCCAGGAGCCGAGCGATGACATCCAGCACGTCCTCAAACGCATTGCTGTAAAACTTGGAAAGACTCAACGGGTCAAAGCCATCACTGGAGTGGGTAAGAAAGTGCTAATCCTGCAGACACTTGTGCTACATACAGTATTATTGACTAGCTATCTCTTAGTTTGATTGATTTAAAGGAATAGTTTGACATTTTGAGAAATACGCTTATTTGCTTTCTTGTCAAGAGTTAGACGAGAAGAACGATACCACTCTCATTTCTGTACAGTGAATATGAAGCTGCAATCGGCAGCATGTTAGCTTAGCTTAAAGACTGGAAACATGGGAAACCAGCTAGCCAGGCTCTGTCCCAAAGGTAACAAAATCCAGCTACCAGTAGCTCTAAAGCTCACTAATTTACACTTTATATCTCATATGTTTAATCCGTGGAGAGAAAAAGGGGGCAGATTCACTGGATAATAACTTTTTGTCAAGGATAACAAATGAACCCAATGAAAGTAAAGAGTAAAGGAAAACCACCCAATCTGGTGACCATAGCCAAGCATAGTGACGGCCTAGTGACAACCAGCAGAGGCACCAGGAAGTCACTCTTGGCCAAGAAACAGTCCCATACATTATCCTCCATAAACCCACATTTTGTGTCTAAACAAATATATAACGTGTTAATTAGTGATCTTCAGAGGGTGCTGGTTGCTGGGCTTTGCTACTTCTGGATTTACTGTTTCACCCTAAGCTAACACGCTGCTGGCTGTAGCTTCATGTTGGCATCAATCTTCTCACCCAACTTTTTGCAAGAAAGCAAATAAGCATGTTTCCCAAAATATCAAATTATTCTTTTAAGATGGTATTAGCGCTATTTACATATTTAACAAATCCTGATGTAGTAACCAAACTAGCATCAGAGCGGAAAAAACAACCTATCAAGCAGTTTAACAGCGACTCCCACAGAATATGCTTTCTGAATACTAATAAATGTGTATTTCATGCTGAACCTCTTGCCCTCGTGCAGGGTAAAATCCACATCAGGATTAGTTTGAGAATTAAGGGGGGAATATGTGCACTATCACTTCAGATTGACGGTTGGATCGCCATCATATCAACACCTTAAAGAGTGGTCCCATAATGAAAATGTTTGTTGCTCATCTCCCTCAGGGAACATTACCATCACTGTCCCAAACTACACAGCAGCAGCTTATGATTTCATAAGAGCCTTCAGGAAAGGAGAGCTCGGACGAGTAATGCTGGACTGACCTGAGCCAATTTAATGAAGATAAACGGAGACAACCTGCAAGGATTTATATTTAACCATGAAAGCGTCATCAAGGGAATATAGTCCGTCTTTGTCCTCATGCCTTTGACATTTTGGGGACATGATGTTTTGTTTATAGATGACGTAAAAAGTCAGCAAAGCACTGGATCCTTTTGTAAATAAAAGAATTGAACTTGATTCAGGTACAACATTTTTTTCCTCAGTTTTTCTTTTAGAATACACAAGGCAAATATCTGACACGGTGTAAACAGGAAATTTATTAGCATGAAGACGGTGATAACAAACACTTTATTTATTATGTACAAGTGTTGTAGTATTTAATAGAGTGCACTTATAGAAATGGAACAGTCTGTTGCTCCTGAGTGTCTACTGCAGGTAAAAAGCTCTCCTGGGATGATGGACAGAAAACCTTCAGAGGCGTGAATAACAGTGAGAGCAGCAGTTTGTTTTCTAGTGTCCCTCCCATACTTAGTTCGTACACAAGTATGAATTAGCTGAATTTCAGGCGTTATAAAAGGGTATGAATTGCACACAAATTCGAGATGATTGTGGAAAATGCAGATGAGCTTTCCCAATACTCTAATTTGCCTGGCCTTATTCTAGAGGATCATCTTTATGGCTGCACAATTGACCGCCACCATAAATCTTTCAGATCACTGAGCAAGATCTTTAAATCCTGTCTTGAAATGAGAACAGAGTAAAAAACAAACTTGACTTATTTTTAAAAGCAAAAAATGGCCAATTGACGAATTTTTAAAAAAGATACATGAGTTTTAATGTTGGGCTCAATATTGCTGCTGCCAACTTGGTGTCTTTAGTCTTGATGGTCACCTGCAGCAAGCCCAGGCTTTATGTTTAGACCAAAGTCTGCTAATACATACAAATAATTTACCGCAGTTGTACTGAGCAGTGATATTGGTCATTCATTTTGTGGGTTTTTTTGTTGTTTTTTTTATGAAAATAAAGATTTTTAAGCTATAACTGAGTTGGCAAGACAATTAAATTTGGCAGTCAGAGGTTTAATTGACATTTTTCTGATAAAACACTTTCTTTAATTAGATATAGAAACCAGCTTGAGGGCAGGAAAATAATATTTTTCTTGAGTTTGGCCCCAGTTACACAGTCACGCAGAGATTTGACAAAGAGTCTTTGAGAGGTGAATGTCACATTGAATACTGTGCTGCATGTTTGTCCATTTATATAGATAAAAAAATAATATACAGTACAGTGATGGGTTTTTTTTTTGTGGTCTTGTTGTCCTTCCCTCACTGTGTTGCACCTCTAACTTGTAGCATACTTTCCAGTGCAGGTTCCAGCCAGTCCTGCACATTATAGTCAGATCCAGGACAGAAGCTCAGTCCTAGACCAAACCAGGAATTTATCCCAAAGAATAACCTGAACATCTACAGTATACTGTCCAGTAAGACTCCATATTTTGAAGAAAATGTTGCAATAATGATAGAAACCATTTGAGAGAGAGAAGATCCATTTTGAGTTGAGCTTGACATTTGTGCATCAAAATAATTGGTCCTATTGAAGTAATCCAGCTCTTCATCTGAGCTGTCGTCTTTGCTGCGGCGGTAGGCAGAGGCGTACCATTTATCCGCTGTTAAAGCCACAGCTGCGCCTGCTGCTGCTGCACTCGCCACCCTCACCGGGGATGCCCGCCCCGACACCCTGAAGCGAGAGCGGGTGCCTCCATAGGCGCCTCCTCCCCGGTAGCTCCCCGCTGTGGAGCTGCGGGAGGGGGAGCCTCGGGAGGACCCCCGGGACCCCCCCGCGACCGCCCTTGGAAAGCGCTGGCTCACAGAGGAAAGCAGCGAGCAGGAGGCAAGTCCAGCATGTTGCAACCACCTGGTTCATCCCTGACATCTGTGACATAACGGAGAAGCACACTTGAGTCCTACATGTGGTGGTAAAGCTGCGCCTTTACTGTGTGAAATGGAGACATTAGTCTATCCTGAGCAAACAGCTGCAGCTAATGCTTTCTGTTCACTGATCAGTTCTGCATACAATTCAGAATATCACCCTAAACTAATAGCCTATGCTAGACAGCCTACTGATCAACAAATGTGAGATGTCCTTGTAATGTTCAGTGTTGTTGTTGTTGTTGTTGAATACGGTTTAAAGACACATTTCTGTGCTGCAGATTAGCTCTCTCCATTAAAGTAGGTCATTTTAAAAATAAATATGCTCACTAGCAAAGAATTGCTGTTGGCTCTCAGCCTTCACAAGAAATAATATTCCGTCTATGGATGATTATGAAGAAAATGCGAAATATGGCATGTTTATCAGCAGTAAAAGGCCATTACTGGAAATAATTTTTTGAGATCTAACTGTGCCATTAAATAAATGTGCAAATGTTTTCATTATTGTAGGCTGAGAACGATGTCTTATTAATAAATGCATGTAGCCAACAATGCAAATGCATGCATTATGTTCAACTCACTATACTGTCATAAATTAGCCTGTGTACGCTAGTGTATTGAAGCCTGAAGGAATCACACCACCGTTTAAAAAGAAATGAATTGTATGCGTACACCCACGCCCATGCTAACCAGTATATCCCAGTGCCTGGTGCTTACCTTATTTCCGTGTGTTTTATCCCTGCTTATGTTTTGGCACTCGGAGGAAAGATAAAAGGAGATTGTCACGGACGATGCAGGCTCGTTCACCCAGATGAGTGCGAGAACGCGCAGCGCGCTCACACCAGCAGAATGACGTCATAAAGTATGCATCCAGCGTATAGACAACTGAGTTTCATACTCTATGATCTCAACGAGTATGAAACACTGTCAGTCTTGTCACAAACTATACGCTTATTTTGGATTTTGTGCCTTTGCTTTTTTTATTTTTACTTTACTGACTGATTCATTTCTCCATCCCTTTTGTGTATAAAGTAATAACTTGATGAGGATAAATTTTTGAGAAGTTTCTCTCCGAAACTGAAAAGGGAGGCCTCCTGCTGATGAACAAACTCAATGTGTGATCTCTTTATATAATCCTTTTGTAAAAATCCCCACAATGGGATTTCGTGATTGATGTAGGCTATATTTTACCAAATATGTTTAAGCCTTTCAAAAATGTTTGATGTAATAATCTTCAATTTATACTAAAACACTTATAGTGAAGACAGATAGTCTACAGATAGTGTAACATAACGTTTTCGAGATAATCTTATAATAAAAAAATGTATATTAGACAAATGTTCAAATAAAAATAATAGGCCTACTGTTAGTGTTACTAATGTAAGCCTAAATGAAAATGGTATTATAGATAATATCTATTCATATCCATATAATATATATATATATATATATATATACTTACAGTACAATGTAACTGCTGCATATGCTGCATATTTTACTTTCTCTCTGTCCATACTGTTAATACTGAAATACTGCTACGGTTTATATCTTATAATATTTATATCTACCTCTCACTGTTATTTATATATTACCTCTATGTGTACGTTACTCTGCACTTAGCCTAGACTGCTTTTTGCACTTCTGGTTAGATGCTATTTTGTTCTCTCACTTGTCCTGCTCGTACTGTATGCAAGTTAAATGTAATGTAAAAAAAAAAAAAATTTAATGAAAATACGAAAAAATAATGAACATGAAATAAAGCAAATTTTATTTAATTTCAACACCAGACACCAGATGGCAGTAAAGCGAGTTTGAGAACATCGTGATCGTACCATATGGAAAACACCAACGAAGAAGAAGACGCACGTAGAAGGAGCTGCCAGCGATCTGGGAGCAAAGTTCAGCCCAAGCTGCTGCCATCGCTGTCATGGCTTTCCTCTGCAGAAGTGCTGCATCGCTCCTGAAGCCCTCCAGAGCAGCGCCGACCGTCCTGTCTGCTGCTCGCCTCTACAGCTCAGGTGCGTGTTTAAAACCCAGCCCAGACTGTGTTTATTTATATTATACATGATCAACTAAAACAGTTAGCTCTGCCACAATGTCAACCTGCGTCACTGAATGTGCGACGAAGCAGGCTGCTAACGTTGAACTTATTCTTCTGTATAGTGTTTTTTGTACCACAAAACGTTTAAATGCTGAATTTTAATGGAAGATAATTTCATAAGATGTTGTTGGCATGATGACCCTTAGTATGCAAATAGTAATTCCACCCTAAAATGGAAATCATAGGTGTTATTTCGATAACAGTGTACAGCCCAGATATTATTTGTGGATTTGAATCTCATCTGATTTATTTATGGATTTCAGACATTATTAAATTCAAGGGATGACTTTTTAAAGAGAAAACACTTCATTCCAGCATGGTCCCAAGATGTTGAAAGAATAACCCCAAGACATGCAGCATAAAACTAAACGCTAAAATCCTGAAAAAATTAACATCACTACACATGAAATAAGAAATGCCCACATCAAAACACCTAAGTACATTTTAATATAAAACAAAGCTCATCAGACTGTGGTGACTATTTCAGTCAAGAGACAGATCATGAAGCTGATCCACAGGTGTGGCTGAATCATTTCACTCATGGTGATTTTACAGGTACGTGGGCAGATATGCAGGGATCTACAAAACATTTCCCTAATATTTTACATGACACCCAGAAATATTCTAGTGCATGGATGATGGATGTCTTTCTCATAAACCTGTGTAAAAATAAATAAATAAATAAAAAATAGGCAAGATTGGCTATTTATTTAGTGTTTACTAGGATATGATTTATGTTGTCTATGTTGTATTAGGGGTTTTGTTATAGACAGTCTGACTATGGAAGCCTATAGGGAAGTATAAAAAAAATTATGTCAACTTGAAACTGTGATATTGTGATCTGTTTTTAAGAATGACTGTAAAACCTGTTCAACTCAGACCGCTTTGGTGACCCATCACCTGGTTAGAGGACTATACAGTTAACAAGTCAACAGAACAGTGACAGGCAGTGTACAGGGTATGGGCGATCTTGAAAAGTCTGAAAGGGCAGTGAATTCGGTTTCCTCAACTTAAAAAAATGGTATCCAGGTTGGTTAACGTATTGAATTGTATCATTAGGCATTATTGTTATATATTGTTGAGAAGGTCTGAAAAAAGTGATATAATAATAAATTATTCTAGGCTATATCATCCCTAATTTCATACTTTGGCCAGTAGTACAGAGAAAATGGCATTATATGTAGTAGTGTTCCTAACTTCACAAGTTTAGACCACTAAGGGCACAAAAGTGTCATCTGACCGTCAGTGTTGGTTCTGTCTTCATGCAGGTGGTCAGTATGAGTATATTTTGGTGGAAAAGCGAGGTGAGAAGAATAATGTGGGTTTCATCCAGTTGAACCGGCCTAAGGCTCTGAACGCTCTGTGTGACGGGCTGATGAAGGAGATGGGAAAGGCCCTGGATGACTTTGAAAATGACAGCGACATCGGAGCCATCGTCATCACTGGCAGTGACAGAGCCTTTGCTGGTGAGGGAACTTATTTTCTGTACCTGTGTTTGCATTTTACCTCCTGTGAGGAGCAACAATACGTTTTTTACACTTATATATTTTAACAGTCCGATCCTGAAATGTTTTCTGACATTTGAGTTTGTTTTACTCTCTTTGTGTTTTAAAATGTGTTCTGTTTTATTGTAAAGCACTTTGTAACTGTTTTTCAGCGGGGGCAGACATTAAAGAGATGCAGAATCGAACCTTCCAGGAGTGTTACGGTGGAAACTTCCTGGCTCACTGGAACAGAGTGTCCACAGTGAAGAAGCCTGTGATTGCAGCTGTCAATGGATTTGCTGTGAGTGTCTTTTATTTTTTTTTATTTCATTTGTTTTAATTGAGGGGAGGTGAACATATATATTGAAAAATATACAATCCTTACCTTTCTTCTATCTCTCCAACCTATTTTCCTATGTGTTTTTTTTTTTTTTTTTTTTTTTTGTTTTTTTTTTTCGATCCTTTCCCCTCACCTGAGGTATTTCAAGTCTAGGATTTCAGTTTTACTTGTCATTTAAAGTTTAATTTGACTGTTTTAATATCCAGATTTGATTTATCCGCCAATCTTGTACACCTTCATTGTCCTGACCGAAATCCATGAAAACAGCTCCAGGCCAAATAGACTGGGGTGTCCACATAATTTCGGCCACATAGCGTAACTTTTAATCCAGTATTTGATCAGTTCATGATGCACAAACTGTATTAAATATATACTAAAGAAGAGTGAGACCTTCAGTGAAAATCTCTTTCACTCCTTGTGCTGTTGCTGTGTTTCATACTGTACGTTCTGCTGTTTCAGCTGGGTGGAGGCTGTGAGCTGGCGATGATGTGTGACCTCATTTATGCCGGAGAGAAAGCGCAGTTCGGCCAACCAGAGATCCTGTTGGGGACCATTCCTGGTAAAGACCCATTTCTGTCCTCTTTCCTTCCTGTGCAGATGACTTCCTTACACTAAGGCAAGGATTATACTTTCCGCGTCAGAGGGGGTACGTGTAGGGTTTGAGCAGCAACTAGCACTACCAGGGCAACAACCGATATACTGCGTATGTGTGGAACGTGTCCGCCAAGCTGACTGCAGAAGGTAGTATAAACAGAAGTAGTCCGCGGGGCCCGCATCTGTCCGTGTCCACGTCCGCTCCCGAGTTTATTTGAGGCTTAAGGTTACTGTTGCTAAGGTTGCTGTTGGAGCAGCTGTTCATGACGTCTGTCTGTCTGCAGGGGCGGGGGGCACCCAGCGGCTGACCCGTGCGGTGGGCAAATCCCTGGCTATGGAGATGGTACTCACAGGAGACAGAATTAATGCGCAGGAGGCCAAGCAATCAGGTAATGGCAATCTTGCTGTGAAGTCAATTTGCTGATATGTTTTGGATTTTGAATGAAGGACTTTTGCTTGTAGTGGAGTATTTTTAGATTGTTATATTGGTATTTTTAATTTAAGTAAAGGATCAGAGTACTTCTTCCACTTCTGGGGAGATGTTAAACATTTTAAAGCATAGACATGCATTTGACTACAGGTGGAATATGTTCTTCTTACATTAGGCTGTGCCAGTGGCTCTAATAAACTGTCAGCTCTTCACATATTTATTACATGTTTCAGTAGCTTTTTGTGTTTCCCAGGTTTGGTGAGTAAAATTTATCCTGCGGAACAGTTGGTGTCTGAAGCTGTTAAATGTGGGGAGAAAATTGCTGCCAACTCCAAACTGGTTTCTGCTATGGCTAAAGAGGCTGTTAACGCAGGTGTGTAAACTAATTTTTAAAAAGTTGAATATCTTAAAACCTACTCAACTGAAAATGTTTTGTCTGACTTGTCCCTCTGTGTGATTGCAGCTTTTGAACTGACTCTGGCTGAGGGTAATCGTTTGGAAAAGCGCTTATTCCACGCTACTTTTGCTACGGTGAGTAGAAGAGCCTATCCGAGAGCGAGCCAGTGACAGTTGACAGTTAGCTCATGATGCGCGTGTCTGTGTTTTCTCCTGCAGGATGATCGTAAAGAAGGCATGACAGCATTTGTGGAGAAGAGAAAGGCCAGTTTCCAGGACAAATAGGAAAGAGCAGATCAAGAGCTTGGCAAATTTCCTGACATGAGCGGGTCATTTCCTTATCTGCAAGTTGAATGATGAATAAATCCTGATGGTAGTGGAACATATAAGCTGTTTAAATTAGGATTTTTCACTGAGTGAGTGCACAAGGGTGGCTTATCACAGTGAACCCCTTCCTGCTGAGGCTCAGTATCAACAGCGAGTGCAGGGGGTTTGTATGTGAAACCATTTGATTACCGTGTTATAGTCAGTGTGTAATCGGAGGAATCAGTCTTGTTGACTTGTACTGACTTTGCCTTTTCATTTTCACTGTCAAATGTTTGTCTGCTCTTTTTGTAGGCAACGTATTGCTGTGTACATATTACAAATAAAACTCTAGAATAGCTTTCAGTTGGCTACTGTCACTGAGACATGAACAGACACTGTTACAGATAATGGGGTGTTCCTTATCACATGATTACATGTTATTCACGTGTGCCTACTTGTAACACAGAATTATCCTGGTTTCAGAAGCTGATTTCTAATGTCTCTTTGAAAGATAGAAGAAGTTCAGTAAATGCGGTCTAAAACTCGACTCAACCATTGTGTACTTCACACCACTAGATGTGGCTCTTGATGCAACTGAGTGAAAAGTGGCAATTATAAGCCCAAGTCATAACAAAACAACAGCCATGCATCAATCTACCAAAAGGAAAACACACTTTATTTAATTTCTTAAGTAAAAGTTCCACATGAAATGGCTTCAAATGTGATGGGCCTACTTAAGGTACTATAAAAAGACACTGCTCCATAATTTCTGGCAAAAAATGATAGACTTGGAGTTTAGGATAACTACATATAATTTAATTTAAATTTGAGGTGCTGTAAAAACACATTACTCCATAATTCCATGTAGTAGCCTAGGCTATGGGACACATGTTACAGAAATACTTTATTCACATTATTTATTCCCGGTATTACACTGAATGAACATTGAAACAATAGGAAGTTTCATATAAGTAGTCGGCCACTTTAAAGCTACCGCAAACCCCACGAAGTAATACTTACAGATTTCAAAGTAAAGAATGGCGTGAGGTTTTGTTTCCGTTATTTCCGATTAAGGAACAGAAGAATACCTGTTCGTTAAAAAATGAAAGGAACACCAACTGATAATAAAAACAAACAACATTTCCCTCTATTTCAATGCTAATATGCAATGAAGTAGATCCATAAACTGCTCAAGAAACTGAAGAAATAACTAGGCTAGACCTACTTCTTAGACTGCATGCACAAATTTTATGAACTACTTTTATTGTGTAGTTTTTGACTAATGTCACAGTCACTTCCAGAGAACAAGAAGAAGCATTTTCGCCTACCTTTGATGCAGGATAAAACGAATTTCTTCCATGGAGGCGCTTATACTGCTGGACTTTCCATTTGACACTTCTTGCACAAATAGGCTATGAACAACTTTTATTCCAAACGACTTTTTGTTCCAGTTTCCCTCCTCTCCGCCAAAACCTGTGCTGTTCAAATTATTTCAATTAACTGGACAGCCAGTCGGCGATTTGAGGGGGATGAGGGGTGTCGGCGCTGTCCGTGGTGCTGAAGTAGGAGGCTTAACCTATCTGTTGCTCATTTTTTCAGTCCCGCCCTTCTGACAATTTCGACTTGGAGCTATAATATTCTCTAAACTATATACAATAAAAACTCAATTCTCTAGACTACTATATTGTACCGTAGCTATAGCCTACTCTTGAGTAGCCTAGTTCGGTACCTTTATGATCAAAGTTACAAGTAGCAGTGTAGTCGCGGAAGAGCGAGAAGATCATGGAGACAGTGCTGCCTGTGGTATTCCTATAATATTATATAGTGATATATTAATGTAGCCTGCACTTTATGATCATCCAGTAGCGCCAGTGAAACTACAGCCCCAGACCAAGCCACCTCTGTCACCCATTGTGTTGGGTGTAACTGGGGAGTGGAGCAGGTCATGTGAATGAGCAAATTGACCTGCACGCGATCAGCTGCTACAGTTAGGCTACATAATTCGAGGTAAAGTTTATTATTATTTTGACTGTTTTCATTTTGTTGGCAACTTTATTCCGTGTACATGTTACAAATAAAACTCTAGATGAGTTTTCAGTAGGCCTATAGGCTACTATAACTGAGACATAAACAGAAATAGGAAGATATAGGCTACGAATTGAGATCCAGTAAGCTAACACACTGTTACTGACAATGGGCGTTCCTTAACACACGATTGCATATGCTATAATTTGCATGTGCCTCTTTGTCTTCTCCTTGAAATATAGAAGTTCAGTCAGTGAATGGTGTCTGCAACTTGACTCAACCAGTGTGTGGCCTACTTCACACCAGTAGATGGGGCGCTTGTGCTGCTACGGCAGAAACTGGACGGACAATAAATTCAGTGGGCCCGTTGGGTTGACACGCACCGGCAGATGAGCGCATGACAAATATAAGGTCAAGCTATTAAAATACTGTAGAAATAATCTTATAGCCGCGGGCCTTTCGGCAAAATGCCAGTGAAGCTGATTATTTAGGCTACGTAAAATAGCCTATATCCTATATAGCCTAGGCCTACTACCGGCGTGATGATTTAGAGGACGTTATTAAATAATCTCATTAGTAATTACACTGCTGCATGACAAGCAGCCACTGAAAACATCTCCGTTTTTAATTGTAGTAGATATAGCCTATAGGTTACATAAAAAAGAGTAGCCACAGATTAATATGTAGGCTACGTTAAGTGTTGCGCATTATAGCCTGTCGGCTGAAAATATTCGGGTACACATAAAACCATAATTTTGACTTCAAAGAAAACACCAGAACAAATTTGGTTAGTGCGCGCTTTCTTTTGCCGCTCCAATCCTGGCAAGGCACCTTTTTTCTCTCTGATCTTCACACGGCGGCGCCCCATATCTTCACAAGGCCATGGCCTAATTGATTTTTATTTTCATTCAATATTCCCCTGGAGCTCGCTTTTTTGTCAACCCCCTGGAACAAAACTTTAAAAAGAAGGGGGGAAAAGCTCGTCTCCTCACTCTGCAGGGAAGCACAAAAGTCTGCAGAGAGGGCCCGAAAAGAAGCTCTTCTTTGAGGCTACCGAAAGGTCAAAATAATAAATGTAGACTCAATTGAGGCTCTCCACACAGACAAAGGGGGCAAAACGTTACACTTTGGCAGCGCAGACCCTCATAGCGTGATAAACTCATTTAAAGAAGCCGAAATAAAGAGAGAGCAGCATGGGTCCAGAGAGGGAGAAAGGGGCTTTGAGTCAGGCAGACAGGCCTGGCTCCTGCAAGGGCCTTTTCTCCTGCCCAGCAGCCTCCCAACCCTCTCCAAAAAACACTCTCATATTCCTAAACTTCATTGCCTCTGTGTCAGTCAAGATGGTGACTTTATCTGTTATTTTTTACATCCAATTTATTTTTTATATTTTCATGGATCTTGTTTATATGCATGTTGGTATATTATTATAATTTAAAGTGAAGAAGACCAAAAACTAATGTAGAGAAAAAGGAGGCAGCTACATAAACATGAATACTTTACCACTGGGAACTACATAGATTACTAGAAAGTTAATAATAAACTTATAGTTCCCTATATAGCAAAGGATGTGTGTAATGTGATGTGGGCTGATTTCATCCTGCACAATTAGCAGAAAGCTCACAATATGTTCAGAATGGCATTACACAAAGACTACTACTTCTCATATTGGGATAAAGCAACGTACAGTGTAGGTCTGGAATGCAGAAATATTATGAACATATATATAGTTTATATTTGCACATTAAGAACATGCAATAAACCAACATATTTCTCCCGATCATTATTACCAGCACCTGTAAAAGGATTGTAAATTCAGTATATGTCCACAAGCCTGCAATACTAAACTGACACTTGACTTTTATAAAAAGCTTTTTTATATGCAGATATGCTTTTTTTCCCTTTTTTTTACTGAACCAGGATCTGCGGTCATGGAAAGGATTCCTCAGCACTTTTCTGCCATCCAGCTGAGAGTTTCTCTGGCTCAGATGAAACAGGCCGGGTGGAGTGGTTTTCATCTCACAAATATTTTCATTATCTCACATTCTTGGCACCAGAGACCGTGTCGGAGTAACACATTCACCGGTGTCTGCTTTGAATTATGCCCACCCAAGGGTATCAGAAACAACATAGGCCCAAAGATTATGCAGTCTGTTGGACTAATGACACTATAGCTCCAGATATATAGGCTACAACTATGTTTTTGATAACTTTTGCTTTGTGCTTTTATAAAACATTTTTGGAAATAATTAACAGAACACAAAATATTAACCATAATCCATATTAATGAAGGCATCTAACATTTTTGTGCCTATATAGGCCTGTTTTTTTTTTTCCGCCATAGGCCCTACTAAATTAGAATAGATAATAATGATTCTATTTATTTGTATTACAAACTTGGTTTACACTGACAGACATTTAAATGTGTTTGAGCGATGGCTTGAGTCTACAACATTTATAAATACAGTTTTGAAAGGGACTCCGTGCGGAAACCCCTCTAACCAATCAAATTATGGTCCCTGATCATATGACGCGTTTCCCTGCGTCAACAAAGACGATGTAAAATTTCGAGATTGTCCACAAAAAAACTCTGTCCGGCAGAAATATATGCCTACGAAACAAAAAGTCTGAATTTTGTCGTTTGAAAGCACAGAAATACAAATGCGAGATACACTACTCGCTAAACGGCTTTTGTTTTTTAGTATTGTCATAGTAGGCCTACAGTTTGTATTGTCTCGATGTCGGGTGGAGATAAACGAAGACGGAAGTAGGCTGCAGTGTCAGCTCTCACTTCGCTTCAGTACTCTCCGGTTCGCTCGTCTCTGTGGCTGTCAGTATGGTCGTACTGAAAGGAATCCCCTCTGTTTTATCACCTGAACTGCTGTATGCTCTCGCTAAAATGGGCCATGGGGATGAACTGGGTATGATATTTAAGTACACATAGCCTACATAGGTCTCCTTTCTCTGCGGCTGTGCTAGCCTGTAACGTTATGGTGGACAGTAGACCAGTCCAGGTTCAAAGCCCCCTAGTGTAAACAGTGACAGAGCAGGATAGATCTCACAGGTTCATTAGCTACACTGGCAATACAAACATAACTTGTTGTAGTTCGTGTAGTCATTCACAGACCTTTCTTTATTTCTTTTAGTTCTTGCTGATGCAAATTTTCCAGCATCTTCCATTTGTGCTTGTGGTCCAAAAGAGATTAGAGCTGATGGTATGTAAAATACATCTATTTGTGAATAAAACGTGTGTGTGTGTGTGTGTGTGTGTACTGGAGCAGTTTTATAGTTGATTGTTCCAACTGTGTCTGATCTTTATGTAGGTTTAGGAATCCCACAGCTTTTGGAGGCCATTTTGAAGCTGTTGCCTCTGGATACCTATGTCTCCTCTCCGGTACAGGACCTGTAAATCTAGAGCTAAAACCACTGAGTGATGTCTTGGTGATGGCACTGATAACTACATTTGCCTTTGGCTTATTTTGTTATCTTTCTAAATTTAATTTGTTGAATCTGTGCTAATATGTTTCCACAGGCAGCTGTCATGGATCTGGTAGACAGTGACAAAAAGAAGTGTTTAGCTGTCCCTGTGTGGGACACATACACACTGCTCCTGGGTCAGGCTGGGTCTCAGGTAAAACAGCCTGTCCACCCAACAATTAAATAATTCAGTAAGTAACACAAAAATCACTTTGTGTTCCTTTGACTTTTCACTCTTTGTGTGTTTACATATAGACTCCTCCTGAAAAGGTGGAAAGGTTTGCTTTCTACGAACGAGCCAAGAAAGCCTTCGCTGTTGTAGCAACAGGGTGTGTATTTCCTCTGCCCTTATTTGAATATTCAAGCTGAATGTTTCATTCTATGTCAGCAAAATGATAAACGCATGTTTTATTTTGTAAAAGTTAAGGGAAAAGACATTCTCTACAAAAGAAACCTTTCTCTAGATTTCATCTGTCAGTTGTCTTTTTCAGAAATCAGCAAACCTTCTTAGGTCATAAAATGGGTACCTGTTCTCTCTGGGATACCTGTCTTTCACTAGCCTGATAATCAGACTGAGTTGCCATTTTGTTTCACTCGATTCACTATGTGGATTTTTGAACAAATATGAGATGTGGATGGCAGTCCAGAGGTCTGGAACAAGACACATTTTTCACAAACAACTAACATTTTAATAATGTTTTAATAAATCTCCACAAAAGCCTAATCATTTCAAAGATGTCTTGAAAAATGCTGCTGATAAATCTCTTATATTTCCATGTTCTTTCTACACAGGGAAACAGCTCTGTATGGAAACCTGATACTGAAAAAGGGGGTCATTCCTGCAGAGCTGCTACAGTGACACACACACACACACACACACACACACATACACATTAACACATCAGTAATGATGATCTAATGAGCTGATGATGATTTCAGTCACAACTGTAGTGAAAATCAAAAGATGGTGAATATTTTTGCATTAAACTAATTTTCAATTTTGTTCAGTTTCCACCAGAAGCTGTGAATTCAAAACACAATTTATTCTTGTTCATGTGTAATTAATACTGTAAATACGATCTGAGTAATCTTCAGTTTACAGAATTCATGTGAATAACTTCTGCGTTGTACATACATTTCAATAAATAAAACCCATCAAGTTTTTGATGAGTGTGTTAAAGTACCTTTATCTTTGAGATTTTGACATGTTCATTGTCACTGAGGACAGTTTAATAGATTCAAATCATCACTTCTGATTTATTTATCTCTTGCAGCCACCGTCTCCTATCTGTATCTGATTTGAAATGATAAGGATCTACATAAGTTGAGCTGTTATTGAAAGATCACAGGTGGTATAGATCATCCAGATCTTCCTCTGGTTCGCTGTGCTTTCTCGGAAATGGCAAATCAGCAGGAACGGCAGCTCTAGTATCAACTTGGTAAGGGATGGGCTTCAGGACATCTTTGTGGTACAGGTCGTCCATGTCCTCTTCTGGTTCGGAGTGTGCAACGCGGACCTCTGCACCAGCTTTGTATCCAGCCACAAGTGGAGCCAGATATCCATACAGTTCCTCCCTCGCTTTGCGGGAGACTTCATCCCAGTCCTGCTCGGGTTCTTCTGAAGCCACCTTAATGAAAACAGGGTGGTCCACATCATCTTTATCCTCTGGTTCCTGATTGTACTTGATGTCGGCCTCTTCATGCGAGTACTCTGCCTGGATGTTGGCAGCAGGGTGGGCATCCAGGTCTTGGATTTGAACTTTGAGGAGATGAGCCACAGAAGGATGGTACAGCTCATCCAAGTCTTCTTCGGCCTTCAGGGGCTGTTGGTCCTGTCCACCGCCTGTCATACTCTTCCAAATCTTCATCTGAGGGTCGATGTCATAGTCCGTCCTATCCATGTCCTCTGGAGGCTCCACTTCGATTCCCCAGGAAATCTTCCCTTTGTCATCTTTGTACCTGAAATAAAAATCATGCAATCTCACCCTCTGTCCAAGAGAAGATGAGTCACACGTCATTTTAGTTTAAGGAAATTACAACTTACATAATGGTGTCCTGGAATGCTTCATCTGCAGGTTCATCCTGAGAAAACAGCACAAATATTACGTGACTGTTGTCCAAATACAAGATAGCAACCATGCAAACATATTTGTCATTTTAAATTCATCAGAAATAATTGAAAATAATGATATGAAGCTGTAGAGTCTAATATTATGGACAGCCAGGAGCAACATACATACCCAGGATTTATATGGCTTTGCTGTGATGCCATATATCACAGAAACACAGACTATTAGAGAAAACCTGCAAGTGACGAGAGTCAGGATTAATTATATAGAATAATAGACATTACACAACAGATCCTTGTCCTGTGACAGAAACAAACCACACAATCTATACTAAACAATAAAACCAGGTTAATAACCACTGCAGTCAGTCAGAAACCCTTTTAAATTGATCTGTAGTTTTCATACCTGAACATGGTGTTTGCTTTCAGCTCTGCGTTTTGGATCCGAACAACAAGAAATCTTTCACTTCGGTCCAACCTGCTGTGGAAATGAAGGACCAAAGTTCCACCAATAAACCAGTTTATTATATTTTCTTGACCTTTGTATCCTTTGAATACAGGAACATACATTTCTCATTCTGTTATCAACTCTAATGAATCTGTATGTGCTGCATAAACCCTATATCTTGCTTGAATAAGATTTATGTCACTCTTGTTTTAGTTAACCTTTATTATTTTACTGTGTTGTGATTCAGATGTAAGTCTTGTATCTGGTTTCTTGCATGCAAAGGCAGTTAAAAATACTGAATTCTGTACTGATCTAATAGAACTATTTTTATAGCACTTTTTGTTATTAATCTTCCTTGTCAGCAATCAGTGATCACAAGGTTATAACGTCCTATGGCCTTAAAGCAGAGGTTATATGTTATCAAGAGACCAACTTTATCATGCAGTAATAGTTTCTCCAATCCTGAAAGGTGTTATCCCTATTACCCTGGCTCCATGTAACAACAGTAACAACATAAATAAATATATAATAATAAAAAAGTCTGCACTATTTAGCAAAGCAAGGATCATTATGACAGTCTTTGTTTATGTGCTAGACTATATAAACATCGAAATGCAGTATTACACACAGTTTGCTATTCAGCACTCAGATTTATCACTGATGGTAAGTTTGGTGAAGAAACTCTGGCTCATTCATCTAAAAAATGCTTATCAATAAACTTAGTTTAGAATACCGAAACCTACCAAACCTGGTCCCAAGACTTGTTCACACATTGAGTAGGGGGTCCAAGGGGCCATTGGTCCCCCAACTTTACATCCCGAATCACTGTATCTCTGCAAATGACCCCTATATTGCAACACTTACAGTGAAAACATATTTCAATCACTCCCATCCACTTACAAACATAAAATGGGCAGAATATTTACATTTTAATCGAACCACAGAGTGAATGCAAAGAGAATCTACCTCACTGTTTGCAATTATTTCCTTGCTAACGGCGACTCCTAACACCCTGATGTGCAAGTGCGCAAGTGAAGTGAAGACACACTTTTACTTTGATGGAAATGTCCTCACAACAACTGGAAAACTGTGTGCGCTAACAATTTTACTACAGACTGCTTTTTCATCAAGATCAAGTAACGTTACAAACCAGGATTTGCTATAAAACTGAAACCAAGGATGGATCAATACCAACCTCAAGCTTGTAATCTGTAAGTTTGGCATTTTTATGTTGTGTTACTGTTTATTTATAACTTGGCATTAGCAAGTTCAGAACGTTGCGCCTCATTTGAAGCCAGTTACCAGAGTAATAGGTTTGATGTGGGAAACTTTTAGGAACGCTGTTTTTAAATGTACTTGCTTTAACTGAGTGACCATTTTTACAATTTGTGGTAACACTCTCAAGTACCTCTAGTATTTATAAGCAGTATAAAAACATTTAATAAATGGTTTACATGTACTAAGGTTTCCCTTGAAAATGAGATCTCAGTCTAAATTGAATTTACCTGATGAAATAAAGACTATAATAATTATACCAATAACCTTTTTGACTTCCTGCTGTTCCTTGTCTGTTGTTACAGTAGTTTATATTGGTCCTGCTTTGGAGGCTCAGTGTGGGTGATATTTGTAGACAACACAACAGCATCATACAATTTCTACTTTACTGTTAATTAAATACAGTGATTTAGGATTCATTAATATGCTAAATGGTCACTTTATTCAGAAAAAGAGATGTTGCATAAAAATGTATATTATTTAGACTTGTATCAAAAAGTTAAAAATCCTGCATATGTATTGCCATGAAGCAACAACAGTCACCATGCTTGGCTTACTTTCACAGAAACTTTCTTAGACGCAGACAGACTCCCTCCTGTGTACAGCTTCAGTCATTTTAAAACAACTAATTACCCCTTGCGTACATATACACCATAGGAGGACAGATTAAAGGCAGATGATTGGTCTGTGTGATGTTAATGCCAGGCACAACGCTTACTGAAGCAACTGTTGAATGTGTCAGTTCTAATCCACGTCCATGCCAAAATCCTATCTCAGAGTAAAACTTACTGTTTCAGAATAAAACAGCTTCACGTCTGATGTATGGAATAAGTTTATTTAAATTAAAAACTCACTTTGTGAATCAGTTTTTCTGATATGTGGCCAAGACAGAAGACTTTTACCGCTGAGACTATGTTAAACATCTGTATGTTGCAATACAATAAACTAATTTAAACTAATCTAACAAAACATATACACCCTTAAAGAATGAGACGCTGGGTTTCAGTGTCTGTCTCTGTTAAGATGCTGTGATGCAGCTCATTGTGAGAGTTTGCTTCTTAGGGCTGTGAGAACTCTCTACTCCACCTCTTTCACTGTTCATACAAACAGTAGGAGAGTCATTAAGTTAACATATGGGTTAATAATGTCTCATGACAACAGTCACATATACACACACATGCGCACACACACACACACACACACACACACACACACACACACACACACACACACACACACACAAACAATGTACAGTAGAACAGGAGCAGACAGACACGCCACTCACTTCCTGCTTTGTTCAAGGGATGGCTCCACTGTGTCTGCTGGTTATCTGCCCTCTATCAGATCCATATGTACAAGTCCCATGTTACCCCTCAACTAGCCCCACTCTGAGGTCCCTGAGTGGTCTACTGTCTTCTTCCCAAAAATGCTCTCCCTAAGCAAGTAAATGCTAGACATCTTTAAGTCTGTGAAATACTAAATACTATGAATTGACTATTGTTTGATTCTGCTTTCTGTATTGAGTCCACACTTAAACGAACAGTTAGACATTTTGGGAAAAAGAAAATTAATACCAGTCTCATGTTTGTATGCTTAATATGAAGCTATAGGCAGCAGCTGGTTATCTTTGTTAAAGATTCAAAGCAGGGGGAAATAGCATGCGTGTGAAGTGGAAGAAAAAGAAGTGCTCCCCTTATCCACAACCTGGATGAGCAGTTTAAGAAATACAAACCAACATCTATAACTTTTGTAGGTTTTGTTCTTTCACAAACCTTTGTGAAAGAAAAAAGGTCTACATTGGTCATTAGTCTCTAATTTGTTAATGCTAATACTAACTTGTCAATAATCCCAACCATTCATGCATAACAATGATGTCAACATTTTAACTTTTTGAGCCAATCCATCCAGGCTGTGATTGGTTGGTTCACAAAAAGTGACACTGACGAGCGCATCAATTTTATGAAAAGCTGAATATATTTCAACAAAAGGCACCTGGATATGAAGGGATTATTGGGTCAGAAACGATCAGCACCTGGTAGGGTGGGATTTTACTTTCAAAGCTCTGTTGTGTCATCATCTAACTCTGTTCGTGCTCTCTTTGTGGCCTTTTGGAGCAAGGCCTTGTAAGGTTTACGTAATGTTACTTTGATAGCCCATGACAGAGAAAAGCAGGCAGGCAAGAATGGTAACAGGTGATCGTCACATAGTGCCCTCTGGGTAATGCAGTTTATTTAGGGTCACAGTATGAATCGCCCAGAGAATCTGATAAGGAGCAGGCAGAAAAGGGTAAGAAAAACGTCATGGTACAGTAAAGTACCAATCCCTTCAAACTCAGTGTCCAAAAGTAAAACATCTGGTTACCTGCACCTCTAAAGCTTGTTTTTTCACATTAAGCAAATCATATAATTAGTTGTTAATTAGTGAACTATTGATGTGTTAGTAGGCTGATTATGTTAATCTTTGGACAGAGCCAGGCTAGCTGTTTTCAGTCTTAAGCTCTTTTCACACAAACTTCCGAGAAACTTACTGGGATAACTAGTAGAGCTGGAACATTAATCAATTAATTGATTAATGACAGAACATCTTTGGGTTGCGGACAAAACAAAACATCTAAGGGTTTCATCTTGGGCTTCGAGATTTTTCACAATTTTCTGACATTTTATAGACTAAACAACTAATCAATTAATTGAGAAAACAATCAACAGATTATTTGACTACGAAAATAATTGTTAGTTGCAGCTCTTACCGCAAGTGATTTTCTTTTCAATATTCACATATGCATCTTCATTCAGGAACATTTAAGTCTTGAGCCTTTTCAAATGCAACATTTCTGGATGCCAAACACCATAAAACTCAAAAGGGACAGAGCCATCCCCACATCCATTCCTTCCATGAAATGTTTATGTTACTAGGTCTTCAGGTGGGAAATTGAAGGTACATATTTTTATGAATATTAATCCCTGTTCCCATTTACACATGACCCCATGCAGGAAATGTTCCTGAACATTTCAGAGATCGACAGCATGTGTGAAAGGGATTATTGCTAAGCTAAGCTAACCAGCTGCTGGCTGACATGAAAGTTGTATCGATCTTCTCATCTAACTCTCAGCAAGAAAGCAAATAAGCATATATCCCAAAATGTCAATCAGTTCCTTTCAATAAGATTGTCTGCTAGACATGCTAGATTCATACTTGTGACATGCATACACTGGCTATTAAACTAACATGGAGGCTAGGAGATGTGGGCCATTATGGAAATGCTCTGTCAGTCTCCCAGAAACCACAATCCAGGGAGAAGACATCCCACTGCTCCAAGCCTTGAAAGTGAGGTTTGATGGATAAAGTGTGCTGTAGCTTCTACCAATCTACCCCCTGCCCCTGTTTCCTGCACACATCAGTGAAACAGCTATTATGTACCCAGAGGCCCAGCCGCTACCAGCACAGAGTAACCACAGGACTCTGCTCCTTCAACTCTGAAGGTCCCACAGGCATACAGGAAAACATGCTCATCTGTGGTTTAACCAGCCTCTTTGGTTGGCAAAGCGCTGTGGCTCAGCAAATGAGTTGCTCCCCATCAGACTGAATAGTGTCTCAGGCACTCCACTAAGGTGATGAAGTGTCGGAAAGTTTAAAAGCAGTAGTACTATTAGTAGAAAAGTTAGGAAACAGTGGTAAGTCTGTGTGACACAGGAGCAGCAGAAATGAATACGAATATGTGAACTTTAAATTAGATGCACTGAAATATGCCTGATTTCAATATTTAAATTTTTTAAAGGAACAGTAGCCAACAGAAATTGCCTCATGTGCATAACTGTAAAAGAGCAAATTGATGCACACATTAAACAAGTTGGATATAACTTAATTAATTAGTGAGTTTAAAAAGTGCTGGTATTTGGATTTTTTTTACCTTTGGACACAGCCTTACAAGCTGTCTCCAGGTGTTTCCAGTCTTTATGTTAAGCTAAGCTAACCAGCTGCTAGTGTAGCATAATTTTGACCATAAAGATATTGATGTTCTCATCTAATTCTTGATAATTCTCGCTTTGATATGCTCGAAATTTAAAAACCATACATACATTTTTATGTTATGTTTATGTTATCTCACGTCGGTGATATATGGCGTGTCTATAAGTATCTCTACTAGTTTGAATTTACCTATCTTTGGTGATGAAGAAGTTTACGTAGTGTAATTATCAAGCCTGGAAGCAAAACAAGCACAAGAGATGGTGGAATCTTTCTTAATGAGCCTCTAACACACCCTCAGCTTCTCTTCTTCCAAATTGGCTGCAGGTGATTTGAGGATAAATTAATCTTTATATGTGGTGTGTACAGACTGTGCTCTGACACCTACGGATGTCACCAGATGCTTGGTTTGATCTGCCAACTGCATGAGCATATATGTTTCCTTCTTTCCGTCACACTGCATAACTCTGCTTGTATCCTGCTATTGGTTAGGCGTGTATGCTGGTACGAACGCACATGTATAATGTGAATGACAAGCCTTTTAGAAAATGTTAAGGGCAACAATAAAGACCAGAACGAATGGGATTTGTCAGCAAGTAATGATTGCTGCCAATAAACTGTGAAACACACACACAGTCACACGATGTTATTGCACAAAATGCAAGGAGTGAGCCAAGAATAAATTGCCTGTCTGTAACTATTTAAGTGCAGCATGAAGTCATGATTTATGCCTGTAAATCTGGGATAGAAAACATGCTTCAAATGTTGAAGCTTGCAGCAAGTTATGGGGCTAACCACCAAAATGAATATTTGACTAAATTCCCATTTTAAAATGAATGATCTTGGCTACATTTTGCTTCATGTTTCTGTTACACAGTTGTTGTATGAGTGTTGGTATAGGAGCATGAATGCATGTGTGGACAGTTTGCAGCACCACTTACTGCACAATGTGTAGTCAGATACAGTAGATTAATATGTCATTGCCACTGATGACAGCTCTTTCTTCAAAATTGTAACTTTAAGTGCGGATCTGATGTCCTGGCTCTTCTCCAAAACCAATAACTGCTTATTACTGCTAAGACTATGAGGAATGCGGCCATCATGTTTCTACTTGACTTAAAGTGGCATCTTTATCAAGATTCTCTACTGGCAAAGAAACAAATAGAAAACAGAATATTTAAGAGGCGACAGCAGGAGAAATCAGACTCCATGCTAAACCTCAATACACACTGTTTAAAATGTTATAATCAACATATTGTACGCCTCGTATGCAAACAGAAAAGTCACTCCTCCGCACTAAAACAATCATCAGCACCAAAACCTCATCATCACCATCATTACTATCAGTAAATCCCATAAAGGTCGTCCCGGAGCGCAGGGCTGTATTTGAGGCTAACCACCCCACTGTCTTTACTCACAGTCTTCCGTCATATCCCCCACACTCACAACATTTAGGAAAGCTGGGGTTTTCCAAATAACTAAAATTAACTCAATGATCTACAATTAACTTAATTGAGGCTTCACCAACACCCATTAAACACACATTAGACATCTCACAGTGGAGTTAAACCGCACGAATTACAGGGCTTGGGGGAAGACCTCCATGGAAGAGCGGAGGCGAACATGAAATGTTGTGACGATGGTCTGGTGAACAGGGGAGCTGTCAGGTTTATGAAGCGGCCGGAGTGAATAAGTGAGCCATCTGCTCAACAGTTGCACACAGGCACTTCAGCTTTTGACACTGCAGTTAACAGACATTAATAAAATGTCTCCTCAATGAACAGGTGGGATTTTAGGGGGGTAAAATTAGGGGAGTGATGAGCCAGTCAGTCTGGGGGCCCGGAGCCACCTTACTATCTGGCTCCACAGGTAATGCCTGAGACAGGCACAACAATAGCGCTGATGACAGCCGAGGCAGACAAGGGGAGGTGAACCCAGAGCTGCAACAACTACACAGCAGACAGACAGAAAGAGCAACTTTCCCCTCAGTCTATTATGTAACTGATGACAGAAGACTGGGAAGCTCTTTGTCGGTTTGAGAGGAGACGCAGAGGAATATGGCTGACCTTACTGAAAAGCTGATCTGAGAATCTGTGTGAAAGAGGGCCATTAGCGACACTTAAACTGACAGAGAGATTACACTGCTTTGACAGTTATGTATCAACC